GGAATTTCACGGTAATGAGTTGTGTAAGATTATACCTCGACACCTAGTCACTCCTCCATTGAAACGAGCATTCATTGGCTGAACCTGCAATCACATTCACCAATGAGAAGCGTGTCCATTGGCTAGAATGCCATTTATCGCAGCAAGACAATTGAACAAGTCGATTAGCTTTCCCTCGTCAGTTCTAGGGAATTACCCAATTATTTTCCGAAAATGTGATTGTGTGTGTAGGTAAATGTCAAAGAATTACTGTGCAGTAATGTGGCTGTTTTCGTTAGTTAGAAACAGTAACAAAGCGCAATTACAAGGTTTTGTTTGAATTTGCCTTAATTACTCGGCAAATTTGGTTAGTAATTTGAATGTGATCCCCAGCAAGCTCAAAACAAAACAATGCAGGCACTAGTTACTTTCGAAGAAGCCCAGTTTGATTTTAAATTCACTGGCACTTTGTAAGCAACCCTCTCTCCGCACGCCGGGATCCTGATTCCCTCTAACTTCCAGCCCAAACACAACCAAGTGTTGGAGGCTGTGTTTGGCGCCCACGTTTGAATTATTCTCAAACCGTTCTGTGAATGCTATCCACTTCGGTTATATAGCTTCCGTCTGACGTCAAACCACAGGTCAACTGTTTTACACAACTAATCAACAACTAATCAACTAACAATGGGAATAGTTAAATTTGTGATCGATAAATATCTCAAATACCAAGCACTATGCTCAATTGCCATCTCATTTTTGTTTATTCTTGCTAATAAATTGCTTACCACTGACAGCTTATTTTTGTACTTATACTTGCAGCCAACTCCATAAAATTTCTCGAAGTCTCGATCTCCAGCATAAATCGAAAACGCTAAATCTGCATGTTGACAACCAATAAAAGCATGAGTTGCTGGGACAAAACAACTCAATTTATTCTTACTGGTTTACACACACGAGTTTGAGTGTGCGTGGAGACGCTTCTCACTTTACGCGAACGCTGACCAATAAAATTCGAGGTTCAAGCAGATGAAAACCAGCATATTCAACACCCCGTGTTCATTCGCGGTGCTACATCAGTGGGTTTGACAGATCGGCAAATTTGTGCGAACAGGGGAAGAAGATGTCGCACTGCCGGGGAAATTCAAAAGACACGAAACCATCGCCAAGGTCATGGGCGCAGTAAAACAAAGAGGTATGCACAAACGGCTGAATCAACGCAAATACCTCCCTTTTGCACATAAAATCACTGTAGCGTGTTACCAACTTAATTGTCAAAATAACAGCCACAAGCTCGAAAACAGCTTTGTGATTGGTGCCGGGGCAATGAAATATTCATAATTTGTCCCGGAGTTGAGGTTTCTTGCATTCTAAAGGAGATGTGCGGAAATGGTGGAGCCCATCTAAGCCTGTCTGTCTCCGAAATTCAACTCAGCGGCTTCTATCGATTTGAAATGCACTCGAGTGACCGTGAACACAAGGATGACGTGCAAATATCGATCGACGAATAAAAGCCGGCAGATCGATAGCAATGCGTGTCCAAATTTTTTACGTTTTAAAATTTAGCAAGGATTTTAAGCATGCTGTTTTTTATTCAGAGGTGTTTTTTAATGTCAGTAGTCCTTCTACGATGAATCGAAATTCGGTGATACGAAATAGTTCATTTAAACAAGAAAACGGAAAGGCACCAATTAAAAGATTACGTTTACAATAAGTAAGGTGGAGATCAATTTTTCCAGAAAACCTTCGTTTAAATGATGAAAGGAATCTAACCATGTACACAGGAATGTTCTAGAAAACTACCTTCTGTAGAACGTTACGCCATCAAATATGAAGGAGAACTAATGGAACACCATTAATAAAAAGGAACTATCAACACCTTCATGATTGCTACGCAGTGTTTATCGTGTTTCTTGCTCTGGAGCTTAATTTTTTGGTCAATCGCCTGATTTTGTTGTCGCAGTAAACCGTTCCAGCGGTGAACATTTAACTCTTGATTCAAACACAATTGTAGTAAGCTGTGTGAAAGGGTGTTATAATGTCCACGGAAAGCACGCCAGTCACCAAATGCAACATGCGACGTGGTTGACGCTCAATATGGGCCAATTCTGATCGATCTGAATTTGATCAGAATACTTGATCATGTTGATAGTTTTAACTGACAACACACAAAATGACATGATACACGTCCAGTTGTAAAAATGCCAGCCTAAAGCGAGCCAAATAATTAAAACACCTGCAGACAATCAAGTTGAGGTAATGTTGAATAATTTCAGGGACGGAATGCACCAAATGTAACATCCGAAGATTAATAATTAAGTGATGGTTGTTAGTGTAAATACCGCCCAATTGTAGTCCGATCATCGTTAGAAATTAAGAGAAACCGCATGATTTTGTGCTTTCACGCAAACTTTGACTGTTAAAAACGGTTTTTCTCTGTTTTTCGCTTACTTGTTTGGCTGAATCAAGTGATATTTAAGACCGTGGACATGACCTTGAGGTGGCCAATGGAAACGACCTAATGAGGCTTAATGTCGAAATGGAATTTTCAATTTTACCAACTACGTGCGATGCATGTTTTATAAGTTAACTCGTAATTTATAATATTACACGTCTCCATTCGTGTCGATTTTATTCCTGTCTCAAGCAAGATCCCTACAAACTCGGTCAAATTAGCCGCCAATGGCGTCCATGGTTGCCTAGGCAACACGGGGGTGCTAGTTAAAGCCACCGAATTTGCACGACGTGGCTCACAGGCCGCGTTCTGACATTCAGGGAGTCTCTCTCCACGTCGGATCTGCGCGGAAATTGATTAATGCGAAAATCGCCAGTGCGACGCCACTTTGTCGCAGTTACCGCGATCAGTAAAATCACGATTAATAATGCTGCTTGACCGGGTTCCAATGGAGGTAATTTCTGATCTGACCTTTTCGCTGGCAATCATGCCGGTACTCGCCAAGTTAACGCCAAGTACGCGTCGTTAAGCTAATGTAGCAGAATTATTGCAAACACAACTCCCTAGGAAGTGGTACAACCCATAGCCAGCTGGTGGAGCGACTTCCTCGTCAGTGATTGGTTGATTTGAAGAAACGAGAAGATGGTATCATCGTTCAAAGAGCCACCCACGTTGTTACATAATACGCTACACCCCTTGCTCATTGCTTCCACGGTGTTTGGTGTTGGTGCAATTAGAAGCTAGAAATTTGTGCCTTGCACTGTGGGTCCCCGCATCATGCCACCCCATTTTTATCTTGTCGCGGCTTTGATTGGTTGAGCTCTGAGAAATATTCAGGTGTGTACACTTACTTTTGACTGGAAATAAAGAGAACAAATGAAATTCCAAGTGACAAATTTACACCGATTTGCTCACTTCATCGTTTTTCGAGTACAAAATAAACGAGTATGCTCGTGCCATCGATCGATTTCCACGCCGCAAATTCAAGGCCACCTGCTCGATTAGGCGATCGATACTCAACTTCATATGAGCGCTCTTCATTGGTTGCGAGTTGATACATTTTTGCCAGTGACCTTGAATTACTTGGCCGCTGGGCACAAGTTCCTGCCTTAGTGGTTGTGTTGTCATCTTTCCTCTGAAGTCATAGTTACGGGCTTCGGAGAATGCTGACAAACAATCGGATGGTAAAAACGGTCGCGAACTGATGAAGTGAAAAATGTGATGATATCTTCAAACGGGTTACTTACAACGTTTATTCGCCAAGAACGACGAATACGAAGAAAGACTCGACAATCCCGATACCACGAAGTGAGCGTTCCAGACTATGACCACAAATTCAAAATGTCTATCATGTTTTGGACGTAATGACCGACAATTTAATGGTTGGCATAAATGTAAGCCTGCGTTGTTCCGCCACCATGTCCCTCAGTTCACACCAGAAGAGCAAGAAAATAAATACCTACTCACTAATATAAGTAGCAAAGTGATTGTCTGCTTCATAAGAAGCTCCAATCAAAGAATTGACTGGCCGTCAAGTCTACCCCCGACCGAAAATCTTGCAACTCCAAGTTATTTGGCTGTTAAGCATCTTTATTTTTGCAATTCAACTCCCCAAGATGGTCGAAGTATCCTAGTAACCATTCGTAAATCAGAAAATATACGTCGATTAATTTAGACACCAAAATTAATCATTTCTTCTATCGACGCCATCGAGCTGGAAACCTACTACCATTATTTTCCTTAGAAGCCTGCCATGTGTTTCTGTTCCCGTTAGTCGATTTGCGTTAGCCTCACTACGAAATGGTATTTAAAGGTGGCGGGCAGTATCAACCAATAAAAGTAATGCATTTCTCATGGTTACTGGTAGTATCGACGGGGTTTCCGATCTGAAAACGCGGAATTACTAGCTAATCTGCCCAAGATGGCAACTCTTAACACTTAATTCACCAAGTCTCTAAACCCGAGGGCCAAGAAGCGGTCCACTCGGGACTCTTACCTGATTGGTGGAGTGCCTGGCGCCGAAACGCTGATTGGCCAACTGAAACTTGCACATTTTAATGATTTTCGAAAGCCACAGCTGATGATTAGCGCTCGAACCCTAATGAAACCCCCAAACACATTTAGTAGAGGACTTTCTAGATTTAATTTGGGACCGACCAGACGAATAAGATTGCCAGAACCAAAGTTTGTTTTACTGGATTCCTTGGCAGTGACTTCAAAGTAGTCACCTAAATTCGGTGAAAAAATTAATGTAGAATTACAAGCGGTTCAATTTTCAGACCTCACCTTCAGAGAATGCCACGCTATCAGACAGTTTAAGCTGATTGGAGCGAACCCATGCTAACTTTTGCCCCGGAAAATTGGGCGATGATTGGTCAGCAACAGCGAACCAATCAACCATTAGACAACAACTCCTGCTAGTTCTGCTGGCTCTGGATTAAGCCGAAAAGCAGCTTTCCCGTCCACAAAGTCACAAAACTGCAGAGTACGAAAATTTCGTGCTTCACTGGCAAAGAGAGGTAAGGAGGATAAAAAAGAAGACTGTACAGCTGCAGCTCCCGCCACACGATCATCTGATGGCCAGGTTCAGATTTTTCAAGCCCGATCCGAAACACGTGGCGACCAGCGGTGTGGGTGGTTGCAACGCCGAGCTGTCGCCGTTTTCGGCATCTGTGGAACTCTTCAACCCATCTCTGATTTCTTCTTCTTCCTCCTCCTCATCCCCGTCTGTCTCCTCCTCCTCCTTTTTGGCTTTGTAGTGGTCCGCGTAGGTGAGGTCAAAGGTCACCTGAAAGATGTGATGAAGAGAGGTGCGTTAAAACGACGAATTTTGCGCCACCGACATCGCGAATGCTTCCAGACCTCCACACACTTCAGCAATCTACGTCGCCACCAACCTCTCTTGTTTGATTAGCCGAGGAAAACAGTAGTTTCACCGATCTAAAGTGGTAAAGAAACGCACCCCGAGGACTTTTTGCAGAAGACGCAGAGTTTGAACGGTGTAGGGAGTCGGTGCGGAGATGAGCAGTTGGCTGGCGTTGTGCCCGCCCTCGAAGGCCATCAAACTGAGGGCCGCCGACTGAAGCGCCTGATCCACACAACCTCCGAGGTAGATCTGTCGAAAGACAGTGTGTTAGTCGTTTTCGCGAGCACTTCTACTATCCTACATGTTTATAATCCGGTAGCTAGTACCACTTCAGATACTATACCATCATGCGCAGTTAATCGACACCGAAGTTACAGAACGATTACAAAATATCGTGCCCGAATTCAAGCCAAATACAACACACTCTCATTTGAAACCAATAATCAGTAATCAATAGTGCAATGTGTTTGCTCCTAAACGAGTGGTGCAAGGTAGTTAATGATACTGTGATAGAACACGGCCAGGGAATTACGGCGTGTGCTACAGGAGGATTTGACATCGTAATTCCCTCAGTTTTGCAGTGCCTGTTGAGTGACATGTGGTCTAGGGTTGCCACGGTGAAAGGTGGTTTCGTCTCTGTCGGCCCAAGTTGCATTTTTGCATGGAATTCGATATTGAGATGAGTTGGATGCTAACACAGAACACACCCACCTCTGCCGCAGACTCAGTGCACCCAGCTTCGTACTTTTTTTATATATCTTGTCGTGCACGTGTCATGATTCCTCGGCAAGTATGACTTGGTTCAAAAGAATGAGGAGCAAGAAATGGCTGTGGAAACACGATCCAGTTTGTTGCACTACGTCAAAACGGTCGAAGTGCGCTCGTGTTCCAGGAAGGATGCAGCACTGTCGTATCGTCAATATTTGGCCTCCCAACCACCACCTCAGCTACAATCCGTGGCATGCACCATCTGCATTACTGACGCAATTCATGAGCAGATCGTTTTGTCGACGAGCGAGGCAAGAACTAGCTGTTGAAACGAGATTTACTTTGTCGTGCTCTAGGAAAACGTTGAATAAGGGGCGGAATTCTGTTGAATCATCAACATTTGTTCTCTCTTCGGTGGCATTCCTCGCATTTACCATAGATTCCGGTCCTTTCCTTCCACGGTTCTTGTTTCTCTTATATCTTGTTGCGCACAAGCCATTTTATATTTGAATGGCTCTTGAAAGACAGTTTAGTTTGCTGCGTTCTGTCGAAACGTGCGGAAAAAGATAAATTATGCTTCGATGTGCGTTCAAGTTACTTTAAACGGCGAGATGCCAAAGAGCTAGAGCCCGATCCAAACAAAACTTGTGGATAGCGTTGTTGCAGCTCAAAAACGCGTCCATTTATTGAACAAATTTACCATAACAAGGTGAAAATGCACACAAATTAGGTTAAATAAACTTGCTTAAAGTTGCGTTGACTCATGATGCATTTATATAACTGGCAGTTAGTAATATGAGCATACAAAAAACACCAGAAGCATAAAAGTGCATGAATCTACCACCTATATAAATCGGGCAGGAATATTTTAAAAGGAATTCTGCCTCATCTAGTGTGTGTATTTGCAGCAATGTCGATGAGCGATTGGACAACCGGTCGGGTCACTGATAAATCTGTTGCCTAGACGCCGGTCACTGACGTCATCATCGTAAACAACACAATCAACACGCTCTCGTAAATCGTATTCAAGATTTCCAAAGGACTAAGAACGCACTTGGTCAAGCAGTCGAGAGGCGGCCTTCAGACCGAGTTCTGAGGGAACAACGGGAGATTTTGCATCGTCGCCGGCGGTGTGACAGGCCTCTGCGGTGTAGATGATACCCTCTTTTGTCACCGCCCACAACACCAGGCCAAAACCCGAGCTGTCTCCAGCCACTTCTCTCTTGATGGGTTGTAAATAAACAAGAAAAAAGCGAGTTTTATCAGTGGTGTCAAAGACGCCATGCAATAAATCTGCTCAGTACACTAGTACGCATCAATCTTCTAAGACCGACACTTGTCCCGTTCAGACACAAAAAGTAGTCAAGCAGAGTTCGAGTCAATCAAAATTGGTTTAAGATAGATGCCCAAACCCAGAGTAATAACTGGCTTCGACTAGGGTGAAATATAGTCTTAATCAATATAACTACGCACAACTGATTCTGCGGATCGTCGAAGACCCATTCGTTACAACTAACTGATACCCCGGGAAATGAGACACTACCTTGCGCTGATCCAGGTTTATGTACACATCACTGAGAAAGGAGTTTAAAAGCTCCTTCGCGCCATGCACCAACTGAGGAGCGACATTGGGACTGACGCGACATGTCCATGCAACACCACGAATCCTAGGCGCAGGGAAAAGGTCGTGAGTTGATTAAAGCGGGAAAAATGGGTTTCGCCTTGAGCAGACTCCTCACCTGTAGACCTTCCCTGGAGTTAGAAGCTGTATTGGAGACAGAAAATGGGCGGGTTTCGAGGTGAACAAAATCTTTCCGCCTCCTTTAGGTGGAAGTCCACGTTGTCTTATTTCGATGTTTAAAGCACTGGCTGAAGCTGGTGGCAAAAGCCTCTTTAGAAATGGCAGCCAGCTTTGGATTAGGACATCGACTGAGGGGTCGATGGTGTTGTTTGTAACACCTTTGAGGACAAGGCTCATTGGGAGTTTTGTGAATGAACAGAGCAAGATCAAGGGTTCCAAGTAATAGCCCAGACCGCGTTCCGGAGAACAGTTAAAATCCACTTCACCGCCAACGAGAGTACCAGGAGAGAAGGAAACGATACAACCTATTTTAATAAAATGGAGATAGTAAAATTACCGGTGTCATTAATTTTGACAACAGCACCATTGCTAATTGCATTTATAAGCTTCAGGAAGTCTACTTCTGAAGCCGTAACCCCAGGATTTTTGCTGCGACTTCTGATATTCTTGACACGAATAGCTTGATTAGTGATAACGGATAGCAATATTTTCTGCCGGAAGGCTGACGACCCATCTTCGTAAATGAGTGGCCGCATCGCACAGAAGGGAACGGGCTCCCGACCAAATTTATCAAGCTAAATATGCGCCTCAAATTGACATAATTTAAAGTCAATGCATTAACCCCCCGACAAAACCCTTGGGTAAGATATCCATTGTTTTACTAAAAAAATTCCCTGAATTAATCAATCAAAATAACATCCTACTTTAAATTACATTAATTGCAACTGTGGAAATTGTTTTAGGAGTCAATTTGAAAAATGGGAGCAAATTTCTCTCCAGCTACTCAGGTATACTTATTTTTTTAATAATAGAAACGTACGATATTGTAAAATTGTCTTTTTTCTTTAATAAGTGCCGCGCATGTACCTGCGACAAAATATCATATTTTAAATAACATGATGTAAAAACAATTTTTCTTCACTTCATCATTTTAGCAGAGAAATGTCCAAATTTTAAAAATTTTTATTTACAAGAGGGTCAAGAAAGGATTTCATGTTTAATTCAATTTGAATATGCAAAATACAAAGTGCTAGATTTATCACACAGAGACGTCGAAAAAATCTTCGGTCCATCCATGTGAATGTCTCGGTTTTATACTAAAATGGATATCATGAAACTGTCAAATGAGAATTCTCAATAAATAGGTGAATTTTTCCTGAACATTTGTGATACATTGTTGTTGAATGCATACTATAATGTGTTTTCTAATAAACCTGTTTATAATAATAACGATTGGAATCTTAAAAAGCTGCAGAAATGCTTTGATTTTTTTGAAGAGCACAGCAGACAGTTACTATCATCGAAACCTTCATGCTTGATAATCAGTCCCAATTCAATCTGCTGCGAAAAGGAATCACAAAACAACTCCAACAAACAATACATAATCTCTTGGTTTAAAAAACTCGCTTTACGATACAGCATCTGTTATCCCATTTTCATTGCATGTAAAAAGATGTCAACGAAAAATGTTTAAATACTTCTCTTATGTAGTTAAATGTGCTAACTTCATATTTACGTGTAATCACCAGCCCTTTTGAAATGGTGGATGACTTATCGAGATTTGAGGGCGTGTATGATGGGTATACAGAGGAGTCTCTCTTAAATCTTATTGAAGAAAACACGTAAATGAGGTTTTAGCTTATGTTGTGTAGTAAAGCTGTGAATGAAATAGAGTTTGAGAATTCAATATTTGAGAGTTACATAAAAAGACTTGATATAACTGTTGAACACCAAGTAGAGCGTAAGCAGAAATGTAGTAATTTTCGTGTTCAGAAATTGTAAGCGAAGTGTCACGTTCAAGTCGCAATCGTTCCAGAAGCAGGAACGCTGCTGCAGAAAGGGCTTTACGGCTTACAGCAGAGCAGAAATGTACAATCGCAAAAGTTGAAATCGAAAATTACACACAGGAAATAGCTGCTTATAAGCAAAATTCTGAGGCTATTTTGGACAATTATAAGGTTCTTGAAGTGTGATAAATCGATTAGCATAGGCTATTATTGAGGAAGCTGAAATTCAACTAAAATTTATCGAAAAGATCAAGTACAGTTATGATAAACACATTACGAAGAGAGCCTTCCAACCACGATATAACGCGATCATGGCTGAGAGGCTCGTTCGGTTTATAGAAGAAATCCTGAAGTCGCAGGTAACTTGAGTTGTGTGACATCATGTAAAATATCAGCTCTCAAAACACACTAATCTATTCAGCGTGCAATGTAATTTTTATGTTTGAAGCTGGACTATCTTCTTCTTGTACTGTTCATTGACGTCTGCTTTCCTCACTGGAGGTGCTGCAGGCTTTTAGTGCAAATTAGTGAACAATACACTGACTGGAAATGTTGTTCTTTCACAAAAAAGGATACCTTGGTGGACAAACTCCGGTTAAACAATACAACCCTGCGTTTTCAACGCAAGAAACTCTTTGATCAGCAGCGACAAAAGGAGGAGATGGGTGAAGTCTTGCACGAGGTCGATTTTGAACAATTAAGAATCGAAAATGCACAGTTCCTCGAGATCATAGATGAGAAGAATCAGGAGCTGCTGCACCTGAAGCTAACGGCTGGACGTATACTCCAAGCATCTACCGCCTTACGAGTTAGTTAATATTTGCAAACACGCACTCTTCTAGAGAAAATTACATCAAGTCATTCAGGAATCCGCGACGTTACAAGTCGAGATAAAGAGTCGTGAAGAAATGCTCGTCAGGACTAAAGCAGAAATTGAGCTAGTCAAAAGGGTATGCTAGGTGTATTCAGGCGAATTCCTTGTTGCTTTCCAGGAAGCGAAACAGATCGAAGCACAAATTGCCAACTTGCGACAGCTTATGGCTGACTACAGTGTGCCGCCCGTCATGAGCTATGTGGACAGTGTTCGTGAAATGCGCCGACTCAAGCGCAAAGCGAAGATTCAGGAACGAAAGGTCGAAATTGCAAAGGTAGGTGACAGGCCGGGTTTGCGGGGTAGGAAGCATTTTGGCAATTACCGCACGCATTGTCTGCTTTTCAGATAAACCTCAACAGGTACCGACGCATGTGGCAACACCTCAAGCAAGCTGATGTCATGCCCTAGTGTCAATTTGTGGACAAAGATAACCACTGACAGTCTTCACTGACTTTTATTTAAAAATCAAACAGATCAGGTAGAAAAAAAAGTCAACTTATAACCGTTTGAGCAAAAAGGGGAATCGGGCAGCGCGTTACGTAAAGGGAAGACCGCTGAACCACGAATAGTCGGTAGCGGACGTTCGTGCCACGGTTACTTCTTTGCGTTTCTAAAAGAAAAAGATGGCATCATGCCAACCCTCGTTGGTTCGAAATTTGATTAGGCACATTAAAACGAGCGACTTTCGTGGCTATTTCTGTTCTGTCAAACCCTGAATTCCAGTAAAACAATCTGACATGTCAGCATGACAAACGGACGCGTGTTTTACTATTCTCTGGTAGACTTGGTTGCATTGTGGGTGGGTTTGGGGTGACACCGAGACACCGTCTCACGTGTACTGACGCCATTTGTGGCTTTGCGCTACTTTTTTTTAAACCATTACACTTTATAGGTCTTTTACGTGCTGATTTCAAAGAGTAGTGGGTTATTGAAGGTCCCAAAGAACAAAATTACACGTTAAACGGCAATACAGGCAAAATCTAGATCGTCTAACCATGAGTAGAACAAACTAGAGGCACGTGTAGTTATTCTAACTCAGTTTCGGCTAAAAATGGAGAATAAAAACACAGCAAAAGACACCGATGTGACCGTGGATTACCTCCAAAGTTGTCGTGGGCGATGGCTGCTGAGAGAGAGGTCTGGTTAGCGTCGGAGGAGGTCGAACCAGGGAGAGAGAGAAGGGTAGCAGGCCGAAGGATACCGCAGAGCCCGCAGTTTCCCCATCACTGCCACCAACGAGACTTGAGCCCGGCGTCAAGGTGAGGAATCCCACAGAGGTGTCCTCTGTAGCCCTGGCCAGCCCCTCAATACACCTCCCAGCTGAGGCTGGAGATATGCTGGCGTAGAGCAGGCTACTCATGTGGACGGCCTGGCCGATATTGGTGTTCATGCGTTCCGAGGACATCTCCAAATCGAAGGGATCCACCGCCCGCTCAAGGCGAGCTAGAAGATCGTGGCCGAGGCCACTCACACCGTCCACACTCGGCGGAGCGTCGATCAGCTGAAGGAAAGACAACGCTTTAATCGAGAGCGAAACCAAGATTACTTCAATGATGTGTTTTTATGGCATTCAGTCAGACACCCAGGCAATATTTCCGTGTTCCTACATGACAAAGTTCTTCGTCCGTCAAATCCTCCAATTGGCTGGAGGCAGCGGATCGATTTTTTGTACTAGCGAGCGGCCAAACGAACAGCCGGAGGATAAAACGGATGTCGAACATCAGCTGGAGTGCTTGTGGTTGCGTGAGAGGCGTCTTTTCATCGTCGGTGAGGCGTTTGTACACACTCAACAGACCCTCGGCCAACTGCAGGCCTAGCGCCTCGGTAAGGGATCCACTGTAAAGTTCAGAAAGGAGAATCTTAAAGAAAGAGGTTTAAGGTTCAATAAATAACGCACGGGAGCGGCGGTACACACACGCTCGTGGATCTGATTTGAAAGATTTTTTTCCTTACCCCGGGAGCAGATGCACGCTGAGGTGAACGAGGCTTTTAGAAAGGGACAAAAGGGCCTCGTGGAGGGGCCACGTGGGGTACGAGGGGATCTTGAGAGTGGCGATGACACTCGACTTAATCCCGGAGTCGTCGTTGTCGTGGGTCGGTTTCAGCGTGATCTCAGACCATTGCTACAGAGTTCGCATGAAACACTAGTAACTAACAGAAAGTAAGTAGGGAGTAATTTAACAGATCCGACTTACAGACGTTATCGCGACAAGGGATTGGTCGGGGTCGCCTGACGCGCTGAAAGCAGACACTAACTTGGAATAGAGCACCTCCAAAGCAGGACCTTGGACGGTGGCTTGTAGCACCGCAACGTAAGCAAGACGAGCAGCAATGAAACGAAGTTTTCGACTGGTGGAGAGCCAAACTTGCCGCAATCTCTGCACATCTGTCCACGTTGTGTAGCTAAAAGAGAACCGTTGTGTCAAACTTCAAAATGACCGGTAATCTGTTGGTGAGAGTGCGAGGCTACGTGTTCCCATGTTCCAGTGATCCCCCATGGATTACGACTCTCCGAGATCCGACCAACTTTGGCCGTTTTTCATTGGCTGAGCCACAGAGCCATGATCGATTGCTATTGGTGCGCACATGTAGACGAGTGAAGAATCGTCGCCATGTTTGAAATTTTTACCACAAACACTGATTCCGAGTGTTTGGCGGGCTTAATATGATTCACAATGGTACCAAATGAAGGGCATTTGTGGAAGCTAACACTACTTCCTCGCCAGCTTACGATTTCGACTCCTCAGTGAGCAGTTTGGCTGTGGCCGCGACAACCGTCGCGCCAAGTCCAGGGTAGACGTCGAGGAGCGCAAAACAGGCCCGAGCGACGCAGAAGGCGCCTCGTGACTTCATGCCTCCGTCCTCCTTGAGGTCGACAATCGCCCGTTTTGCCATCGAGCAACACCTTTTTTGTAAAAAAAAGAAAACACGTAATTCTGAGTGTCACGAACACCTTGGTGCGTCTGTTGAGCACACACACACCGCTGACCTGTCGAGGAGGCGTGTAACGACACCAAGAAGGACCTTCCAGACAGGTGTCTCGTCGCCAGCGGCATTCTTGGCGGCAGTCGCAACTGTTTCGCAAAGGCGCCGATTAAACTTACTGCAAATTCTAGAGGGAGAGGGAGAGAGAGTAAAAGAATCGTGTTAATTCTGCATCGGTTCGACAAGAAGCCAATCAAGACTCGTCGACACGACGACAACCAAACGCCCACCGTTTCAACGCCGGAGTGATGAGGCGTCGCTTTTGGTTCAACTCGTGGCGACTGTTGCCATGGTGACGGTCGTCACACCAGTCGAACGCCGCGTACGTCTTGGCGGCACCGTCGAGAAGTCGACTGAGACGCCAGCGAAGCGGTCCTGGAACGCACGAGTCGGTGGAAGACGTCGGCGACTCTGGCACCAGGTCTCTCCGACCTACGAGACACGCAAAGTACGCCAAACTGAGGCTGTCGCCGTCCACTTGGAGGCTGGTTGAGTTATCGGGTTGGAGGTCGACGATGCTGGAAGTGCCGCTTAGTGACTGGGACCAGACAAACGCGGCAAGATCTTTCTCCTCCAGAGAGTTGACGTCGTTGTCGTCCACATCGTCCGACGGGGCTGCCACTTGATCAAGAGGCTTCGCCAGATGCAGCAGTGATGCCTCGAATTCATCAAAGATGGCACCGAGATGAGTCTCCAGCAGAACCTACAGCGACCACAAAACACAGTGATCGGAATGTCAAGCTTCCAACCGGAAAAAAGGTCGTAATTCTACCTGTAGACGGTCTAGGAAGGCAGATTGATATATCTCACACCACAGATCAACATGGCGTCCCAGCGGCTTCACATTGGCGGTGAGATTCAGCAGGGTAGTGCGCATCTCCACGAAGGTGGCAAGATCACTGATCGAGTTCAAGGCAGTCGACAAGTGCTGATGACAGAGATCCAGTGTCCTAGGTGTGCGTAAAGCGCCGGTTATAGCTTACCGGTCGAGTGTTGCCCCAAACTCTGTGAAATGCAACTTACGATTGCCACCACCTGTTGGTGGGATCCGTTAGACACTCCGCAGAGAGGGGACAGGCAAGAATACCACTGGGTTCCACGTCGGAAGTCCCCTCCGTTGGACTGGGGCAAGGAGACTTTGCCTGTCGCGATTGGTTGGTGCTGGTAATACGGTAGTTCACCACATTCTCTGGCAGGTGTTCAAACAAGTTTTCACCTGCGAACCCCGTAATTTCTGCCGGTGCATTAGAACGAGAAAAGTGGAAAATAGAGCTGGCGTTTACGGCAACAGGTGATGGTCAAAAACTAGCAACAAAAATTACAAATCAAAATTTAGCCGTCTAGCCGAGAACTCCTAGCCGTCCATGTGAATTTTGCAGCTTAAAATCCAATTACAAGGAAAGACAGCAGCTGCCGTTCATTGGGTGTTGCGTCGTCCAATAGCGTGTGCCGCCAATATGTTGTCCTCTGGCAAGTACTCAAAGAAATTTCCATCTACGAACCCACACTAATGGGAATTACCACTAGCATTTATGACAGCAGGTGATCGTCAATTAGCACAATAGCTTACAATCAAAATTACAAATCAAAATCGCCAAGATCCTATCTGGCCGGTGCATGTGATTGGATGGCGGGAAACAGGGTAAGACAACCGATGACGCTTATTGGGTGTTGCGTCATCCAATAGCGTGTATGTTCGATCTCGTTGGTTAAATGATTTGTGCAGACTCGCCTTGCATCAGATTCGCCGAGCACAATGTACAAGACGAGGAATTTGAACCAAAATCTTAAAAATGTAGGCTACAAAGCTGAAAGTTTTGTGAGGTAACACATTTGAGCATCCCGAGAGATTAGATTAGCATTTAAGTAGGCTCAAACTCTGAGATTCCAGGGACTCAACACTCACCTCGTGGACTCCACTTGGACATCTGACTCAGCAGGCTGCAAATCTGACCTTGTGGGAGGTAAAGAGCGTTCACAGACTCGAGCGTTTGCATGAGGATACGCGCCATCACCGTGAGACGCTGCGTGACGTCGACGCATGCCTGACTGTCTAGCGCATCGTCAGCACCCGAAATGCCCTTCAGAGCGGCCTGGAAAGGTATTTAGGGGATTTGAGAGGATGTCTGCCTTTCCGTTAAAGCCAGAAATAGTCGTCCCACTAACAAACTCATCGTATATTGAGTAATAAAGCCCTAGAGAGTCACGAAATGCTTACAGTTCGGCCGATTAAAAATTCCTCCAACGACGCTCTCATGGTCTGATCCTCGAGCACAAGTAGGGCGGCCAACGCCTGGCACAGCATCTACGAAACAATCGGAAATACAATAAGTCAAGTCACGACAGCCATGTTTGGTTATTTTGATAAAAACGCGTGGCTAAGACCAACGAAGCGCACAACTCACATCGTCAGTGACGTTGTGCAGAGCGATCTGTTTGCGACAGGCCGCAGCAATGGTGCCCTCGATGTGGTCGAGAGCCACCCACTGGCGCTTGACCAAGACCCGGGCGTTCACGTGGGCGGCAAGCATCTCGCTCGTGAGCTGCATCTTCACTGCGAGATGCCGCCCCAACAGAAAGTACTCCACGGCTGCGCTGTAGTCGAACTCATCAAGTGCCGTCCAGATCTGCGCGAAAAAATGCGGTCACGATTGAGATGAAGAAGGCGTTCTTACCATTTCAGACACGTCCAGGAGCAACTTTAATTGAGCTGCGATCAACTTTTTTGGATCCTGTGCCTTTTGATCCTTCACTCGCCTGCAGGAGAGAGTAAACAGCCACGAGGAGAACTTACGATGGCGTGGAGAGAGCAGACGACTTATACACACAGGCGCTTTCCAGTTGTGCGAGCTTGTCCGTAACCTAAAGCAACCGTTTTAGTAGAAGATAAAGGAAAAGAAGATGGTACGAACAAATTGGCTGTATTCCTTCATGCAGAGGATGCTGTCAGAGGCCTCAATAACATCACGGTGGCGCTCGCCCACAAGGAAACGCAGCTCCATTTTCCTGCTTTCAACGTCATTTCTAGCGGCAAGTTAGAGAAAGGTGGGAACGCTCAACAAACCGAATGTCAGCGCAGATGCGTCTGACTTCATCGACAGAATGGTTCTCAAACAATTCAACCACGGTCGCCTCCGTCATTGGGAACTACAATTATAAATCAGTTTTCAATAAAAACCCATTTTTGACATCAAGATGCACACATCTACGAAAAAAATCATAAGTGTTTAGGGCGCGTAATGTGAATCCTACAGGGCATTAGTAATCAGGAAATTAATTTAGCCAGCCCCATCAGAAGTAGATAAAACGGTACAGAATTAAAATGACATAAATAGGGCATTATTGAAACCACTTTAGTGTCATTTGCGATTAATCCTGAACTTGGGTTCATTAACCAAATAGATATTACTGAAGCCGGACAATTCACAAACTCGGAGCTCGAACTTAGAAATTTACCAACTAATCCATTCGCATAAAAAAACCGTTCTTTCGAATACTTTATATATTTTCAACGACTATCAGAACTAAGCTGTTTGCCGAAGCTCAAAAGCCACATTTATGCTATTTAATCAGTAATAATTTGACTTTAAGCAGAAAAAAGCGTTCAAAACACGGCAGCGTTTTCAGTTAACTGTCTGTAAGCTGAGTTATGACAAATCTGCAAATCTCAAATATCGTTTATCTGGACGTGCATCCGACTCATTTCTTACAGCTCACATGGAGCAAATACTACCTAAAACATGCCCGATGAGATTAGACCGAATAAACAAGAACCTGATACATTACTTCATGAGTCCAAATCACAAGTAAATAGTGCATCGTTACTGCTGCTACATACATTTTCCTTTAAAAGTGGAAAAAATGCATACCAAATAAAGGGGTGGAGAAAATGTCATGGAAAAATCCACAGGTTTCTAGTAGGTATAATTTGTATCACTAAAACAGTTACTGTAGCATATAAACCTATAAAATCATCAAGTAAGGCAACCTATTTTACATAATGTAAAGCAAAGCAGATCTACAATGACATAAAAAGGAGGCAGCAAAATAAAACTCGGACAGCGAGTAGTCATGACAACTGGAATCATTGCTTAATTCATAAGAAATGATTAATTACTCCATTTCTCATATAGGAGAATGTACACAAATTTAATGAGGGGGAACATACCCGAATTTCAACGAAATATGTGTAAAGGTGGGTTACATAATCTACGTGAGCTAAAACCTCAAATGGCCTAAACGTAGGCATTGAAGCCAAATTAGGACAATGTTGTAAAGTTTTTGAGTCGTTATCAAATTATTGCTGAATAAATCTAATTGTTATAATACGATCATTAAAAATTTAATTTAACAATCTGTAGACATAACATTGTCCAAACAGTCCCTTTAAATGGAGGTATCAGTCCAATTCATGGATGCTCGATTTTTGTATCCGCCTAATTATTTAGTCAATGTATTTACATGATTAAAGCCACCTAATAATCCGATTAATTTATGTGGAAGCTAGAGGTGGAATATAACGGTGGTACGGTGGTCATAAGTAATTATAGCAACATTTCAAATGTGTATCAGAAGTTTTATTCTATTTAAAAAGCTCTGACAATATGACTGTACAATGTACCAGGTGTTATTGCAGAAAAAAAGCACAATCGATTCAAAAATATAGAAAATCAAATCGCAGGAATAAATGTCATTGTTATGCAATATAGGTACAAGTCAGGTTTACTGTTTGTTCTTCAAAAAAATTATGCATGGTTAACGATTTTGAAGGAAGGCTGATTAGGGTGAAATTGTGGCCTTTGATTCGATTACAAGAAATTGAAAAACAACTGATTCTTCGCTAGTATTGTGAAGCAAATTATTCGCTCCGAAATTTCGTAGTTTTTTTAAATTTTCGTTTTATTGATAACAAAAGCTTTTATAGAAAACCCTTATGTAACAAATTTGTAGAATAAGATGCGCTTTCTAATTTAACACATCTGGGCATTACGTTATAATTTACTTGACAATTTTTCCGAAGTAGACTCCCCCCTTGATTCATTCATTACTGCCCTAGTCTTCCACGTATTTTGAACCTTTATTCTTGCAGCTTCTACGTGTGATGCACTGCAATAGACCTCACTAACAAGGTATTAATATGGACTGCAATCCTTCTCGAGTTTCTTTTTTAAAATAAAGTATTTAAAACAAATGAATATTTCACGTTGGAGGCTCTTTTTATTAGGCAGATTTACTAACCCAAGATATATATATTTTACGCTGTCGTAGTCAAAGGATAGACAATGGCTAATAATGTTCTGCTTCTCTACTGTTCTTCTGTTCTCTGTTTATCTGAACTGATAGTGTGTTCCTAATGAATTCAAGTGCTGGATCGCCTTGTGTGCGCGCTATTGCGCGATGGGTCGAAGTGCGTCATTCATTACACTTTTTTTTGAAGTGGCGCTGCTCAAGTATTAATATTCGTGAATACGGCAACAAACGCCGATCTTTCGGAAATCGGGGCTGGGCGCAAATTCATGCCACAAGCCATGCGAATTTGAACTCGATAACGAAATGGAAGTCTTTCTGATCTGTGTAGACCCTCAAGCCGAACATCACAGGCTCTTGAGTAATTTATTCGAACGGGCTGGATGTTTTGCAGATACCTCGCACGATGAGCTGATGGACAAATTGTCAGAGCGTTGGCCGTGGCGCTTATTTTGATTGAGCTGCCAAGACAACGTATACAATCGCCATGTTAGGTTGCTAAGCCTTTCATCGGCCGACTTGGAGATCATCCCTGGGAATCCCGCGTGGAACGGTAATGGCCCCTTCTCTCCGCTGGCACTGACTCTTCCTTCCCCTCGATGTTACCATGGGTGAAGGAGCTCATTTAAATGGTCGAATTTTAGGCAATCCGGCGGTTTTGCGATGACCGATTCTCGTGATGGAGCCGAACCCGGTAGTTTCTCAGGTACATGTGTTCCATGCCGTTATTTTTGCGTAATGTGCTGTTATCGTGTCCTTTATGCATATGGGTTTATGTGATAGACTTAGGCATTTTCTAGTAGGTACGAGTGCTGGGTGCTCTTTGTTCAACCCAAGGCTGGTCCCTACAAAGATGCTTAGACGTCGTCGATTAGGGTTAAGACCACCAAGGTATCGTGGTGCGTAGTAGTGGGTGTGTAGATGTCCCGCTAGCCATTTCTGGAGTTTATATCAGCATACTTTGTATTTATGCCAGAATATGAAATAGGATGATGTATTGGGGCCAGACATCCTCAACACGATGAGGACGAGCCGGCACAGACTCAGGACCTGACTGAAAACTTCGACTGTGTACTCCGAAACATTCTCCCCTAGACGATAACTTCCCTTACCGTCGTTGCGGATTCCGCTGTCGGATCGCTCTGATTATAGGTACGGTAGTACTTGATGAAATACGCACCAAACAATTGATGGTTCTGCCGTTTTGGCAGGAACCGTTGATAAGTCTATCCTTGCACTGATTTAGTAATTTTTGTGCTTTTTCTAGATTCCACCCGGTGCACCGTCTTCCCGTTGCCAGTGATGTTTTATTTCCCTGTGCCGTCGAACTGTCTCTTTGTAGTAGCACCATGAAATAATTGAATCAATGCATTATCGACCTCTTTTTGCTACTCTAACCCCGGTTTCGTGTAATGAACAGTGTCACGGCATCCGTTATCTAGGAGATCAGGATTGCTCGGGTACGTATTGGGGTTGTCAGTTCTTACTAACTGCCTGGAGCGAGTCTTAACCGGTAGTTTGGTGCTGGTCATTATAAGGCAGTGAAGGCAACTTCAAAAATCAATGTCGTGTAAGACATCGGATATACGACCTGTAGCTTGTCACCCCCATTACGGTATCCGACCTGGTAATTGTATTTAGTAAGTTATGAGTGTACAGACGGTTTATCAACTCGAATAGTGGGAATGTTTTTTACTGCACTGGTAGGAGCTGATTATTTTGAACGCGATTCAGGTGTGGTCCCCCTCAAATTGTTAAGCCGGTCAAAATTCATTAAATTGGTCAAAGATCATCAAACTGTGGACTAAATTTCCTGTCGACTTAGTCGCCTGCAATTTAGATACCTTTGCAGAAGTACGACCCCTTCAATGAATTTGTTTGACTGGTACCACCTACACCGCGGCCATTGGATTCGTCTATCTACTAATTGAAGGTAATCTGATCCCGCTCATCTCTCCACATTCGATGCCTTCTTCCGCGTGCGGGATTAGCACAACGAGTGACCGTTGGCATTCTATGCATGTAACTTACCTGGCATTGTAAGACACATGAATCAGATGGTCACTAGGTCCCGCTAGCCACCGGTGTCATGATAGAATCGTGCCTCCTGAGATCAACTCACACAACTTAACCGATAGTAATAAAAACGTTTCCGGAATTTCAAAAATTTAAATTCTATCAAATGACTTGTTAGACAACTCACTAAACATCGAAGAACTAGACGTTTTCTTTTTAATCTCAATCTCCTTATCTTATACATCATCTAATAAGTATTGGGATTTAGTGAGGGCATTCTTTGTGATTAAGAATCGTATTAGTGAATTCCGAGCCACATCGCACGTAATACGCCACTTTTTGTAAACAGCTAAATATGAGCAAAGAACGAGCGCCGCCACTACCAAGGCGTCCGTTACGCATCGATTCGAAGGTTCCAATGACGACCTTGTAACTGGCAACCTGCCACAACCGGTGAAATCGGGGACAACTCTCACATGCACTTAGCCCACCGACAAACGCGGCAAGTGGTGAGATAAATCCAGGACTCAACAAGAACCTCTGTCATTGTTCTTCTGAAACCTACTCCCTCTCTAGGGCCCGATACAAGTGGATGACATGTCGTATTTTTACACCACTTCCGAGTTTTTATTCAATCGACTTAGCGACACCACGGATGGAACTTGAGAACGACTGACCAATAAACACCCAGGAACGTCTTGGAGGATAAATTAACACACAGACACGCTGCGAGAGTTGGCCACACACAAGAACAGCGATGACAAGTAAGTTTGTCGAATTGACCCAAGCAACAATCTACAAATCTACGCAACGGACATAACGCCATTTTGACCTGACTGTCCGCGCACTCACACCGCAGCCAACACCTGCCACAGGCTATAAGTTACCGTGTCTACTTCGTAAATACTTAAAATCTGTGGGCACCGATTAGTCCGGTTTATGGTACAAATGAAAGACACTCGTGGTAGTGCGCGCAGTTGGCGCGTGCGTCAAGTCGACGGCGGGGTTAGGTGGGTGAGAATGGCGTTGGCGCGTTCCGCGGCGAGGTTGTACTCCGCGGCATTCGCCTGCAGAAAGCGCTCGCACTTGGCCCGCAGGGCCTCCAGATCGGGGTAGTCGGCGGACGAGCAGCTCTTGACATTGAGCAGGGCGGACAGTATGCTCGTCCACACCTCGATGGCGCGGTAATTGCGACTGCAAAGTGGAGGAGGCATAAAAAGAGGACAATTTGGCTGAAAAAATCGTGCGTGGGAGATCTCAATTAGCAATTTTAGTTACGCATCGATTTGAAGGTTCTAATGATGACCTCGTAACGGGCAATCTGCCCCGAACGGAGAAATTAAGAAACGGGCCAGCTGACCCTCGGTAACAACTCTCACATGCACTTTGTCAACCGACCACCGACTAACGCCGCAAGTGACGAGGAAAATCCAGAACTCAACAAGAACGCAGTGATCGGTTTCCTAAAACCTACTCCCTCTCTAGGGCCTGATACAAGTGGATGACATGCCGTTGAGCAGGGCGGACAGTATGCTCGTCCATACCTCGATGGCGCGGTAATTGCGACTGCAAAGTGGAGACGGCATAAAAAAGAGGGCAATTTGGCCGAAAAATCGTGCGTTGTGGATCTCTATTTGCAATTTGAGTTACACGGCTAGACATTCTATCAAGACAAATCTACCGATTACATGCTGCCCGACTGGTTCTGGGGAACTCGTGGTACTGATGGTGCGTTATCATGGCACAAGAGGAAGATCGCGATCGAGGTGCAATCGTGTTCAGTGAGAAAGTAATGAACATCTCCCAATTTCACACAACAGTGTTCGGTAATCAGTTGCTAAAGCAACGACGCACAAAAGCAGGCTCGTAGTTGACAAAGCGTACGATGGCATCTCCCCTTATCAAATCCACAGAGAGAACAATTTTAGTTATTCCAGAAACACAAACGTAAACATCGATTCATGTCCTGTGGCACTATTTGAAGATAATTTACCACCGCCGTCATCCTGAGAGAATTTTCCTTCGTCTAGCCAAGATATCAGACCTTAACCGATCGAACCCACTCCACGAATTTGGCTACTTTGTACTTTGACAAGAGATTTTAGAAGTTGACCCAACGTCTACGCAGCCTTCAACACTCCCTTAGCTCACAAACACGACGAATTAGCCAAAGTGAACTTGCCTGGAACGAGGAAGATATGCCGGTTTCCATTCGCCATTGAAACACTCCACCTTCATGTAGCGTTTGAAGACGAGAGTGTAGATTACACCGGCGATGTTGAACAAGTCGAGCTGCAAGAAAATAGGCACGAAGAACAATTGAGAGGCCGAATGTGCCCTGTCCAATGAGACAACCCGACCACCAAACAATCAGCCGCAGACACAACAACGGTAATCCGGGGTTGGTTGGTTGGCTGGTTGCCTCGACGCTGAACCGGACACACACACACACACACACTTCGGCCGACAGAGTTCAAACGAGGGGACACACCACGTACCTGGTACGTCCAGGGGCGATTGGTCAGCATCTCGATGCACGGGAACGATCGTTTCGCGGTCCGCGACTTGTCCACCTTGAACACCGTCTCCGCGGGGAACCTGGCCATGTCGATGCAGAGCCCGAAGTCGAGTAGGACAAGCACCTTCGTCGATCGGCCCGACATCAGGCAACTGGTGAAGTCGTTGCTCTACCGAACAGTGTAGGAGTCGGGTGAGTGGTTGTTCTCGAACTTATATGTGTGTGTGTGTGAAATGGCAATTACACAACTTTGAGTACCCCAAACTGAAAGACGCCCAGATAGCGTGTGGATGAATTTAGGTAGCATATATCGTTGGTTTTACGAATAAACGCCCGGGTCTGCGACCTTGTCCCGGTGTCAACACACGAAATCCTCCACACGCAGACTCTACAGACACGACATGGGTCGGAACGCACGCGTCATTTCTTCCTTATCGCCGATTTGTCACCAATGCTTAAGCTGTCAAATGATTTTTCCAGTTGGTGAATGATTCACCATGGTGCTAGTGCTATTTAGAACTTCGGCACAGTAATCCTACTCAAGATCAAACAAGATACTGTCGCTTGAAGGCAAAATGCAGCAACACATGAGAAAAAATTAAACATGCAAGCAGCAGACAGGCCCTAGCAGTGTTCAAACTGCGCAGGTCTAGGGCAAATTCCACGCCAAAACCATATCTCCACCACTATGACATGTCGGATTGCCGAAATCCCTCACCTTAGATACTACCCAAACACGTACTAACGAATTCCGGACCGAGTCGTATGTAATCCGACCCCATATCTGCTATGCCTAACACCGCCTAAAACGCGATGTTCTGGGTGCAGAAGATGGTTGGAGGTATTGGCACACCCACCTTGCCATCTTCGTCCACCTCGTCAAGCGGAGCGACGTCAAGCAGGGGAAAGCGGTCGTTGATGCGAAAGTTGTCCGGTTTGATGTCGCCGTGGATGATGCCGGCGTGCTTGTGCAGGCCCTCGACAAGCCAGAGCAGCTCCAGCGTCAGGTACAGCGCGACCAGCTCATCCTCGTGTTTCTCCAGCGGCGGCGGGTCCCCACCGTGTCGGCCGAGGCGCAGGGACCGGCAGTAGGCCCTCGACCTGCCGCCGCCACCACTGCCGCAGAGACCGTAGTTGAGCCAGGTGAGGAGACCCACCGGGTAGAAGGGCATCAGCAGGCACGTGAATCGTCCGACGCTGTGCGTCAGTGCGAGGGCCGGACAAATCGAGGAGCGCTGGTGGAGGGAGGGACGGGAGGATGAGATTACGCAGGTGGAAGCGCCTGTCCATCCACCCCCACGCACCCCCCACCCTGGTACTCAAACTGTGCCGGTCAACGACGTCATTAGTCACACACACGACAAGAGCACAACCAGGCTTAGCCATCTGATTGCAGGCCGAGGCTCTCAACAGAGGCAACACAAGTCAACCACACAACTCCAACGCCGGTTGTGAATGCGAATTTACCCCACTGTTCAATTTAGCCACGAATTGGCATCTATTAAGCCGACATTAGCAAAGTACCACGGAGAAAATACTTCTAATATTCATGGTGCAGGTAGGATTGCGTTATTGGCGTCAACTCAAATTCAAGTGGGTCCCAAAAGGGCACATTTTTGTTGCCGTTTTAGCAACCAATCAGATTAACTGACGGGGCAAATGAAGACGCTAATTGGTTGCACCAGGGAGTGATGCAGAATTGGTTACAATAGTCGCGTCATTTGCAAAATGGTGTTTTTGTGAAAACAGGGACTTCAATGTGGTCTCAAACGTTGACAGGGTTTTTTGCCCTGATGATCTGGTGTCAAATTCATGCCGATTCCTCAGGTCAATGACGCTATAATTTTAGACACCTCTTCGTAATAATGCGAATTCAAAGCACATTCGAATGTTGCGTGTTCCCCAGATGTCCCCACTTGCGCACACAAAAAGGTGTCGCTTTTTAGGAACTCATGGGGTGGATTGGCCAATAAGGAGAGACAACAACTTGCCACATCAATAAGGGCTTTGCCAAGGCGAAATGCCGTAGCCACACGACGCCTGGCCTCGCGCAGGTAGTAGAACTCCAGAGGGAAGTCGGGCACCTCGAGTTTGACCACACGAAGGATCCCCGTGCCGGCCGACCGCCCCACCGCCTCGGGACGGCAGCCGACAGTTGTCGTCTCCAAGTCGGCGGCTCCAGCACCCGACGAAGGAGACAGGAGGCGGGCGAGGTAGACGACGCCGTAGGTTCCAGACCCCAGACGTCCTTCCACGGCATAGTGCTGTTCACCTAGTAGTGGTTAAGTGAAGCAATTTTGTGCAACTGGCTAAAGCACTCCACGACGCACCACATATCATCCCGAGTTGAGGTGGAGTGGTAAGATTACCACTAATGCCGCGTCGATTCGCGTCCATCGGCTCTGGCGCTACACACTCCCCCCCCTCCTACTCTTTTTAACAGTGTGCCAGTCAGACACGCGGGGCCGTCTGCTCATACACCCCTGGGAATGTACTACCCCCATGCTACCCGTTTCATTCATCTGTGCTTCAACCAGTTCAGGCACGACAACTGTCTCGTATGCGCCTTGGGGGCATTGTTCTAAATCTTTCCAAAATATGCGCTTTTCGTGATTCTTTGAAGACAACCTCACCGAAAGTGAAAACCGACTTCGGAGGAGACGTTGGTTCCACCACGCGGTAGTTTGACCAGCTGGACATCCGAGGGGAAATTTTGAGCCAGAAGAGGTCCATGAACTTCGAACACCACGGATCCACGCCCATCTCTGTGCCCTCCTCGCTCGGCGATGTCAGCGGGAGCTGCTTCAGGAGAAGCTCGCGTACCTAGAATGCAGATGGAATGAAATCGCATCCACGAAGTGAAGAAATACGACAAGTTATATGGAGCGCAGGGCCTCATCAACACACACACACCTGTCCGGGAGAAAACAGCTGGGTAGCCACGACTGGAGTTGAAGGGGCTTGAAGGGACTGACCGAGGAAGTAGTTGGAAACGTCTATCAAATGACAGTCCTTTCGTTTCAGCGGCAGCTTATTAGCTGTCGGCAGCTCAGCTAACTCGGACTGGCGATTCTCATCACTTATTTCCGGCACCGTCGCCTCCTCCTCCTCCTCTTGGGACGTGTGCTCCGGTGGACTGGGACTCAACGACTCGTCGCCAAGCGGGGGTTTGTCGAAATGGACGGCTTTTCTATAGCAGAACAAACCCAGAAGACGTTAATAAATAGGCGGTTCTGGAACAAGGGAGGTTCATTATAGCGACCAAGAATGGTTCCACTAGTCATGAGTACCTTCGTCGACTGAAATAAACTTCTTCCAAGGAGAGACTGGCGGAGTGATCCTTAGTTGGTGAATTCGCCTGAAACAAGACAAACGTTGGAAACATGTGGGCTTTGCTGTCTTCACGAATTCGTAAGCACCCTCACGGAAGTGTTCTGCCTTCTTAATCGACTACATTCTCATTTTTAGGCGCACAAAAAAACCTATCTAAGGTCACCTCTTAATCACCCGCGTCTGAGTTACAGATTACATTATACGGAGGAAATTGAGGTGAATGTGAAGGTACCGACGAACCTGTTGTGCTGCGATTAACTCATCCCGAAGACAGCGTTGTTGGATGTACACCTCGGCTGAGGTGAAGGGGTCTCCCCAGGCAGATGCCAAGTGGGTTTCGTTGTCTACACCAAAAGACAACAACCACCAATGAAATCACAAGTTTCCTCAGCACAAGTAAACTATAGCACGACATGAGAGAGATGCGAATCGAATTCGCAGAAAACGATTTCTCCAATGTATTTTGTTTCTACCTGGGAAACTCAGTCACGGAAAAACTAACTTAGATTTGGTTAATGATCCCTTTTACGTGTATCATACACAAACTATTTTAAATAATTTTTAGTAAAATTCTATTTGATATGAACGACGGAACATGGATTTTCGATTCAATTCATCATTGGCCAAGTAATGGACGGAAAGTATTACCTAAATTTAATCACAGTTCTAGGAACAAGCCTATCAAACCCAGAAGGGATAGGAATATTAAATTCGTTTGCGGTTTTATCTTTGAGTTACGGACCGCAATGGGCATTCACCAAGACAGCGTTGTCTTGGTCGACAAGCACAAAAAAGCGCGAGTTTTTCATATACACGGTTGACAAGAGGAGTAACGGAGTGACAGATCCACCAGCAACGATACAGTGGTACCGAAACAGCAACATTCGAACAGGCTACCAGCGCATCGCTACCGTCGGTGTCCTATGAACGTCCCCTGAAGTGATCTACGACGATCGACATGCAAGACAACTCGCCCCTTGACAATATCAAAAGAAAAGCAGAAATGACACAGGCTTATGATCAGAACATTTGATTGTAATGAACTTTTAATTGTTGGGATATGGTTTCCCAATATGACCAAGGACTCCTTTCACTATTAAAGTAAATCGTAGTGAAGAAGAACAGTCAACACGCACAGCCGACCAACGCTTTCTTTTCACGAACAATTAGCTCGTCGAGTGCGTGGAGGCATTCGAAGACTTTGGAGGATCCTGTCAATTGTGTTCAGAAGCCTTAGCCACGGCGAATCGAGAACGATACTTCGCATAAGCATTACAACCAGCAACGCAATCACAGCTTCCTCTAAACAACTAGAACCATTTGCACTTGCGAATGTATAGTTATGCTACATTAAGCACACATGTTAGTCAAAAAAAATAGAAAAGCTTGCCCGAATTTGGATAAAATAAAAAGTGGCGTACTTTGGGCCATAAGGGTTTGAGCATAATTTCGCATAAGAAGGGACTCCATGGGCAGTTCCTGCTGACCAGGCTGCAGTAACAGCATCGCATTGACCTCTTCAAAGGGAGAAATTCGGCGGCTCCTCAACCAGTAATCAGCATGAACCTCTTCGAAGCACTTTTCACCATCGGGACCATGGATTAGCTGAAACATGGAGAAGGATGATGAGACAAGGTCACATCAACAACAGGAGCCCAATTCTTGCCGAAAATAAACGATATACCACATGTACTACACACAACAAAAAAAAACAATAGTTGCAGATCCAACTCACTGAGATTTTACAGGCCAAAGTGCCGACTTCCATTACATAGGGAATGATAGGGAGATCTAGTAAAACGAAAGTAAGAAAAAAAGTTAAAGTGTCACAGTTACTGCGGGGTTGTAAAATGCTTGACGTATATTTGCTGAGTACTTGACAGGAAATTCTTTATGAAAACAATTAAAAGATGTCAATAAAAACAGTAGCAAATTAAAATTTTTTCCAAACAACCGCGTCTGCAACGTAAACCTAATTAGGTCATGCATGACACTTTTGGGCATAAAAACGTAATGCATTAAACTGTGAATAATACTACAACCAGAATAAACGGAAAACAAGTGAGTGCAATGTAACGAAATTCATTACAAACCAGACCGTTTAGCAGATTCAATTCATAATATCAAACATAGAACTCTGGCATGGAACAAAATAACGTAGTCGTAAAAATAAAAATTATAAATTAAACCTTCGAGCACTTAACCAACAGGTTGAATAAGTCGGCAAAATATAAGATAAATAACGTCGACCAAATAGATTGACATATCACCCAACATGCTGTAAGAACACTAAAAAAAGTCACATAAATCAAACGAAAAAGGAAAAAGAAACCCAATGATGATCTTATGAAGGTGACAACTTACAAAAGCAGAAAAATAATACGATTCACATCAAACGATTCACATCAAAAATTCCTAATGATTATTTGTTTATTGCGCCTACAGTGAAGGAATTAAAACATCGACACATTAAAACATTTTTAGTGTATCTTCATTTCCTAATCTTGATTGACTTAAATGGAATATTTTACTATTCCTAGCATGCAATACGGAGCATCCTCATTATCTTCAAACAGATTTTTTGATATCTTTAGCTACGTAACTTTGATAATTGCAAAATATTTTAGTTCCATTCCTGATCAGACATTCTTAACTTTCGGAAAGAGTTCGAAAATTCTTTTACAACTAGTGCGGCTTAATAAAATATACTTTTACACAACGACGCAATTAATATCTTTATTTGAATAAATATGCTCGAAAGTGAATTTCCATAATTATCAATAAAAATTATCATTGCGCACCTTGTTGTGAATCGTGTTTGTTCAACCCCATAAACCGGCCGCTCCACCTCCTACACAGGGCTCCCCTTTTCGTAGCATGTCACCAGCCGCGGGAATTCTCAACTCCCCCTTCATTAGCACGAATATTTATCTTGGAGTACCCCCACAACTAGGTCTCGATGTAAGCGCATGTATGACTCACATCTGAGGTATACACATGCGCAAACCTCACACAGGATACAACGACACCAACGTGGTTGAACCCTGAAATAAACGCTTGCGCCCACGTCCTCTCCGATCTTTTTCTTCATCGCGGGAATAAGGGAAGGGCTATCGGGCCGGGGTTAGTTCAGTGGCCCCGGCATGCTTCAAGACCGATTGCTGGGGTCCACAACGACCTCTTTTAGTTTACATAGAGGGAAATTCCCTTAATATGATCCATTTCAGCCTTTTTGATTTGATTATTTCAGGCGGAAATCTTTTTACCTACATTCTCTTGAGCTTTTGCTTTACTTAATAAATGCATTCCCTAATTCTCATGCCTTGTTTGATTTTAATTTAATACTGAGATATACTTTGGGCCAAAAAATGTTGCTCATATCACAAAATCCTTCTTCATTGTGTATTTTTAATGTAAACAAAAGACAATTTCCTCTCCTCATTCTACAACACTTCTGCCCGAAACTTCATGGCCATTTGAACAAGAGCATGCAATTAGGCCACAACGTAGCTCGGTCAATTGTCTTTTTTGTCTTACATAATCAATGGCCACGACTAAGGCAGCAAATCACGCACCTCACCTATCAAATTGGACTACAAAAGACAACACAACCTTGACGAAAGCTGCAGCAGGCCAATTGCTTACGGGTCTACTCACCTAACTCAAAAGCGAGAGCACCCAACTCCAGATTAGCTCAAAACCCGTCCTGCACGAAATCATTACTCTACCTCACAACTACTCGGTACCAAGATCCTTAGTCTTAAATGCCCCCGATTTAGGCTCGGCGGTGATCCCACATTAGGACTTCTCAATTCTTATTTCTCCGGGGTTGCCCACCCAGATGTGGTAAAAACGCTTCCACAAGTGAACATACAGTTACGCCCAACCAACAACCATTACAACACGGCAGCGTCGCAAAATTGTTTTTTTTACGAAGTTGGGAAAACAGATTAAAAAAGAGGCAACGTACTCAGCGTGGTTGTACGTAATAAGGATGAATAATATTCCAAGATGGTTAATACGAAATGCAAACGCACGAGCTCGATTACATTGGTAAAAGACGACACTGACCCGGGAGCAGACGAAATCACTTGCTGTTTACACCTGATCGACAACCTCCCATTCGGGTTTTTCCTCTGCCTTTTGGGCATCCCGAGAAGCCTCAATGGCTCCCGGACTGCCGGCGCTTTCCTCGACCTTAGCCGATTCATCTTCAGCTTCGCGCTTTGCCTTCTCGGCTTCGGCCACTGCTTTTTCGGCCTCACGTTTGGCCTTTTCCTTCTCAAATTGCTTATCAATTTCGGCAACGGCAGTCGTCATTAGCTCACGAGAATGTCTCAGTAAGTAGTTGTAAGTGCTGACGAGGCTCTTGTTATCACGACTCGCTCGCTGCTCCTCACGCAGCTTTTCTTGGAACTCACGATTCTCCTTTTTCAGCCGGTCCTCGAAGTCCTTGCAAGAATTTAAACGAACCCGAGTTTTCTCCAACTCCTCCTTAATTTGGAAGAACTGGAACTCCATAGACTTTTTAGCCTCCTCAGAAGCTTGCACTCGCTTGAGAAGCTGCTCATCACCAGAAGCAGATGCGATGATTACCCTAGAGAAGGGAATAAGGTGCCGATTAAACGTACTTTGAGGCCCCTTGGGGTTTTTCACCACCAAAGAGAAGATCATTGCCAGCAGCAAGATCTCGGACGAATTCTGGGTCGCTGGATTCCAATTTAAGTGTAGTAACATCATTCACGTCGCCCTCAACGACATCCTGATCCGTCATGTTTCTGTAGCGAACGTGGTCACGATGTGAAGTAACCTTCGCAACAAGCTTCCTCATCTAAACAGAGAGGAGTGTGAGGTATGTAATGAAAGCAAACCTGTGATTTGGTGTAGCCCAGATTTAGGAGTTGGAGGATATCTGTCAGGTCATAATCACGAATGAAGCTGGCGTGTCCACTATCAAAGAAGGTGAAGGCGAATAAGAGGGCGAAGTCGACGGTTCGACGCATTTTTCGCGGTTTGCCCGGCTCCTCATCATCACCAATCTGTGACAGCTCCTCCGAGTCGTCGTCGCGCCTGCGCTTGGAGTCGGGCTCGTCGTGACCATTTTGATCAGACCTGGGCGAAAAACAAGGCGTAGTGTGAGAGTGGATGCGCGAGAGGAAAGCTAGTGCAGAGGAAAGAGCTACCCCCCCTACTCGCCCCGTGACACGCACATTTCTCTGGAACAGTGCGACCCCTATTAGTAGTACCAGACACAAAGTCGGAATAAGTTGCCTCGTACTTTACGTCTTTAGTGTCCTTCTCGGGGGCAGAGTAGATAGCCTTGAAGATAGTGAACGCACAGTCTCGCTGCAACATAGTATGGAATTGCTCAGCAAACAGGGACACCTCAAAGTTGAGTTCCTTTTGCTCCTCAGCCTGGTAATTGAGGAGTGAATGGAGTGAGACGCGATGACAATCGAAACGCCCACCACGAGCAGCCCTGTTAGGGTAAACAAGGATAGCCGGCTTATCACCCAACCGATAGAGACGCTCCAAGCGGCGACGTTCTTTCTCAGATATTTCCTTTGACTGGTGCTGTAGCAGCTCTTCCTTCGACTGCCCAGTGGCTTCAGCCGGGTTAGATGGCGTATCGTCGGCTGCAGTAACAAGTAAAAAGAGGCGTTAGCCAGCAGTGCACTGTGAGCAAGGTGGTTCTGACGATAGGCAAATGTGACCTCGCAAGGTCCCGGCTCCACGAGTTGAAAAACGACGAGGAACATCCCGGAATCACTGGACGTGTTTACTCACCCGATTTTGCGTATTCATCCATTGTGGTCGCTTCCGCCGGTTTGGTTTCGCTCAATTCGGCTTTCCTCTCGTCGTCAAGGGCGTTTTGCAGTCGACACACGAGGTTGGCCTTTACACCTTTAGAGTCGAGATTGCGGGCGATAAGTTCTGCTCTTAATTCGGTCACCTAAAAGAGCAATTTTTACGCTAAATGCTCAAGTACCTTCATGCTGTTGACGTCCAATCTTGAATAATGGGTTGGTTCACCATCTGATGGCTCTGGATGGGGAGTTTCTAGGCTCTCGTCCACGGCAGATTCCGTGGCCTGAGAAGTCTCCATTTGGTCTGGAACGGCAGGCACAGTTGATGATTCGTCAGTGCCAGAAACCTCCTCGTTCCTTTCTTCATCCATGGGTGCCAACAACTTCTGTAGTGCGTCGCCGTACAAGTTTCTCGTCTGCTCCCATTCTTCATCAGAAGGAATGAGATGGGAAACCTCCGGAATTAGGAACACAACTACTTCCTGCTTATCTTCTGTAATAAAACGCTCCTCCTCTTCTTCAGTCAAAGTAGGCGCTTTTGTGCCAGCTCCACGATAATAACGGATCTCGAGGAAGCGTACCCTTCAAGACAAAACATAAATACGAGTAAATAGGCTTACCACTCATTTACAGAGGAGAGGTCTACACCAGTGAACCCTTTGAACGTTCTTATAGCTGTGTTAATCAAAGTCTGTGGATTCGATTCGGGATCCGGACCATCAAGGCTAGGAGACCAGGGCCCTCCGATTGCCATGGTTTCAACCTTTGACTTCCCGCCAACTACGAAGTGTATATTCTTGATTGCCGCGACTTTTTCAGAGTCACCCTTTTCGTCAGCTGCACGAAAAGTGTGTTTATACAGTTCAGCCAACTCAGGTGACGCTACAGGCATAACACGGACTGAATACGAGTAATCTGCGTCTGGGGCCTCCAAGGCGTTAGGAGGGTGGACAAATTGAGACTCGACATCCTTGTGCAAAATCTGGACAATTTCTATCACTAATATCTACCACAAACCTACATAAACGTCAGTCTTGGTGGCGATGTTCATGGGCTCGTGAAGTGGAAAAGCCTCCTGCCAGGTGAAACACGCCTTGGAGAAATCGTTGGGGATATTAAGGCCATGATGTAACAACTTGAGCTCGGGAACGGTGGCGAACTTCGATGTCAGCGGAAGTTTCGGCACCTTCACCTCATAACGACCCGAGTATTGAGGTCTTTTGCTGGACCTACTGTCCTTCCGGGAGTAACTGTCATGCCCGTGTGGTCTCCGATCACCAACGGGGCTTCTACCTCTCGGACGCTTCCCACCCCGGTAGTCATCACGCGGGCGTCTGTAGCCATCATCGCGGTAACCGGCGCCACCATATGGTTTGACCATCGGATTAGCAGTGTACATAGGACGTCTGTCAACGGGATTAACGTAATACCCCATGTTTGCGCCCATTGCAGGCGCGTTGGGGCCCATGTAACCCCCACCAATACCATAGCCAGGACCTTATTGAGCAAATTTACACATTGAAAGGAAACTTACCATTTCGATTCCAACTGCGACCAGCCATAATAACAAAAGGGCAGAGGGAAACTGACCGCCAGGGGATTTAAACAACGGCGTTCGGCGAATCAGTTCAAATTCTACTTTCCTTGGGCCAAGTTGCGTTGCTATCTATCAATACAGTTATTAAACGGTAAGAAAAAATAGAAGTCTTCAAATTTGACATAAAGTGGTTAAATGGAGGCAACTTCATTGAAATTTACTATGATGAATATGATGACGGTGTTTTGTCGAAATGTTCATAAATTTCATATCATGTAAAGAATGGCTTCTAGTTGTGCCAGTAAAACGTAGTAATTGCCTTAAAAACGAGAATAACTGAGCAGAAAAAATCAAGCATTGCTGACATTCTTGTGTTAAAAAAATCAATTTTTTTCTTGCTTTTGATTGGCTCTATTAGTCATGTTGCTGTTATACGTGAGAGGCTGTCAAACTCACATTCCATCACATTAAAACATTGAGCCAACAAAATACATTTGTACGCCAGGTGTTTATTTTAACGATCAAGTATATTATAAGACTAAACTTTACCGTTATAAGTTTCCAAGATTAACAGCAATTGCAAACATCCTATTACGTTTTGATTTGAATATCAGGTTTCTGTTGCGCCTTTATAATACAAATGCGTCGAAAAATGTATCATTTGACTATGGCCTTAAATTTTTTCCTTCTCCTTTACCTGAAACTCGATGTCCATTAAAAATTTCTAGCGTAAAAGAATTCGTAACCGTAAAATTTTGAGCAAGTTTGGAACTCATATCTTGCAATATTACCCCGTTTCCTTCTACTATGTCATTTATAATTACTTGATAAGCAATTTTAAATGTTTATTCAGTTCAGTTATTAGCGTTACGTACCTGGTGTAACTATGACCTTTCATGAATATCACACTTGCGGCACCATATACATAACTAATGGTACTAAATCACCATTCTGTTTTTGCAGTACTGAATGCTTTTTATTAAATTGTGACGAGCTTCCAGTTGTGCTATTGATTCGTCTTAGATCAGCATGCTTTGAATTAATACTTCATATTTCGACCCGTAGTCATGCCCGGAATTTATCACGCGCCTTGTAAAAAAGTTTGACGGAATCCGATATCATGGCACCATAAACACGTGTGTGCCGTTGGTTGGCACATTTTACTCAATCATTTTTTTAAAGTGGAAGGTATGCTTCGTTTTCTTTAATTAAGGTAGTTTCGCGATAATATGAAGTACAGAGTAATGTTTTCATGTTCATCTTTGCCCAAGAAATTATAAATTGCACTCATACAAATTCAAATCACACCATCATGAGCACTGAATATTCCCAAATGTAAAACACTTCAGAGTTGCTATGTAATCAAGCCCAACAATACTCTTCTTGAAGTTGTTTGGTCTAACTTGTGTTGCCCCATATTTTGCTTCGTGTACTTAAGAAGGGACCTATCTGATATTTATTGGCTGCACCAGTATTTTTCTCAAATACAATTTACACTTTCATTTAAATCAATTGTAAAATTTTAATCGAGTGTATGGAATATTTCCATATTAATCAGTCACCCTTTGTATTTATCTAAATTTTGAAAAAAGACAAAAGTGCCGCAAAAATTTTTACCAATTTTAATTGATGGGAGCTCATTTGGCAAAAATTAGTCTTAACAGCACACTTCCTAACCCTTCGCTGCTCTAAATGCGCCAACTTCCGTATGAACTGCATGCATTCGTTGTGCTAGGTCGGCCATGAAGCAGATTGCCCACTTAACTACTTGTAACAGTAATGACCTTCTTTTTTTCTATTAATAAGCTGAAAATTATTAATGTACCAAATTATCTAGGACAGTGATATTGGTAGAATAAGTCTTATTTTCGGCATTTGGAAGTATTCGGTTGAGGCGTTGTACCTCAACCCAATGTTATTGTGAATAAAACAGAAGAATTTCGCAATACTTAATGAATGAAATATGCGCTACACCTGACAACCTTACCCACCACTGCTACAAGATCAAAAATTTGAAAAGGTCAAGATTTTTTTTATCCCATAAATTCTTTCTTCCTTACTAAGCACAGGGCCCTCTTTTCGGGGCACTTGTACACTGGTCTGTCTTCACCCCTGTGAATGTACCGCCCTTGATGCTCATTCTTCTCAAATGGCCATTTGGACCTCTGTTCTTTTACTAGTCAACGCAAACTGCGTTGAAAGCAAACCCTATCATTCATACACGACTTTGTACAAACGGCGACGTGACTCACTAAGCAACGCCCACGCTTCTCGTCTTATATATCCGTGTTGCATCTGGCCGCAACACTTGTGTTGCCTATGACTAACTTCTGTTTTTTCATCCACTGTTCACATTCTAGTCGACTGCCTAGATGTGATTGGCTAGCCCTTGACAAAGCATTAGGCGGAGTCCTTAACGCTTACTTAACAAATTAGTAGTATGGAGGTGTGTAACTTTTGTTGAGTTCGCCCCGTTGAGTCCTGGATTCTTCTGTCGTACAATGGGAACGCTTATCTGATTTGCATTGCGGCAATCGAAATTTGTGATTTGATAATACATACAGCATTTTCGGAAAACCTAAAAACCTAACTGGTTGGTTTATGCGAAATACTACTTAAAACTACAAAGTAGGCGATAACTCGTTGTGAACCTTGGTTTGCAACACATCCTCCCTCCCTACAGGGGCAAGTTTAATTAATCAGACATAAGACATTTACATAGAGATTGGAAAAAGGGAGTAATGCAGAAATATGTTGCTTGGAAAAGCGTGTTCACAAGATTCGACAGTGCCAATGTCGCGAATCGATTTTTTGCGGTCCCATCGATCAGTGGGTCAAGAAAGAGTTTGAAAAACGCATCAATCTTGAGGCTGCAATTAAACTAACTCCCAGAATTTAAGCGGCTCCCTAAACGCACTCATCACGACCTGAAAAGCGTTTAGCAGGAAGCGGCCTTCTAATTTGCCTAACTTCTCGTTATTTAGGGCCTTTTATGCCTAAACCAAGCCGTCTTCGCTGGTTTGTCGAGATGACCTAGCCGAACTGATATATTCCTCAAATTTGTGGAGTGATATCACCTCCGTCGTCAGTAAGATGACATCAGATCGCTACAATGCAACAGAATACGGGCAGCGCGAATAGGGTTTTCGCCCGCATTTATAACGCAAAATAAGACTTGTCGTGATTTTCGACTAACCGTCGAAATTGCTTTCAACCAGACCCACTTAAACTCACGACTTGACTCCAATCGACGTCCAGGTACCACGGCATCAATAAGTCTGGCCCACCGCAGCGCTCCTAAACACACATCAAGGAGTTGGAATAAGCCCGCCCCTTGAGCTGTCAATCTCCCCACCCCAAATGTGCACATCTAAACCCAATTAAGCGTGATTCCGGTAGTGCAAATTACCCAGTCACTGGCTGAATCGTCGTTTGAAGGCGTCGTTTTCTGCCTTCCCAATTTAATTTAAAATTTGTAGATCAAGATTTAGCCTACAAGTTGTTGCATACAAACTGTGCTCTAAGCCGAAACTCCAATAGACTCTTATCGTTTATTTTTTGGGGTGCGTCACGCACGAATAGATTTGTCGATCGATTTTATCTGGAATTTTCGTGGATGCGTCAAGCATAAAAAACATCACCGCGTTTGAGTTAATCGCCAACGATTCCTCAAAATAATTTGCAATCTTTGCTGACGTAGATGTCACTTTCAAACCGAAGTTCTACCCTGGATTTAATAAAGCAGGAACTCAACGGATTCTCATCGATTATATTTTCGGATGCGTCATGCATTAATAGATTTGTCAATCGATTTTATCGGAAATTTTGTTGATGCGTTAGGCATAAAAAACATTACCGCGTTTGAGTTAATCGCCAACGATTCCTATGAATAATTTACAATCATTGCTACCATAGATGTCACCTTCAAAATTAAGTCCTACCATGGGTTCAAAAAGGCCCTTCAATTACCGATGGAGACGCTCAACTTTTTACGAATTTAGCTAAAATTGTAATGCGACCACGCCAAACTCCGACACGCTGTCGTTAATAGCGCATACAAGTGGCCAGAGCAACCTTCACCCACGACCCCAGGCACGAACAGGCGACAATGCCGATTTACAGTATTTAATGAAATTTAGGTTCAACAAACCCGTTTTGATGTTGCGGGCATCGTAAACATCGCAGCTTCTGTTGCCGGAATAAACACACACACACACACACCAAGGTCAAACCGAACAACTGAACCCTTGTCACGGTTAACCCGGCATTGTTTACGCAACGCTCCACTCGGAACAAGGTAGAAGCTTAACAAACAGCGACAGCCATGTAACCGGTCAAGACCTTCCAGTGAGCATATTAAAACATTTCGCCACTCACAGTTCCGCGCTTGGTAAACAAAATAGGCCTGAAAATATGTCACCAGTTGACGCTTGTTCAGACACAAGGGCTATTAAAACGGATCACAGCTGGTTCTCGATACTCGAAATTAAAACCCGCTAATCCTTGTGTCGAAGTCGACAGATCACAAGCCCTCGTCTCTTTCAGCTCGAAAACCACCCCTCCCTCCCCCCGCCCGAAACCATCACGACAAACAAGCGTGACGTCACACGCCTTGCCACAACACAACAACGACTCAAAAGGTCACACCCGCCGATCAGTAGGGTCGACTTGAGATGACATGACATGCGTCAAAAACACGACAATTTTACAGATCCTCAGTCCTACAACCCCGACAAAAGCGATGGCGAACCCACCATCTTCCAGAGGTAATTTTTGCATAGCCAGTTTCACGAAAATGGTAATAAACTTGCAAATAGCTAACGACAAACAATAAGTAGCATGTAAGAAGGGACGGGATGGTGATACGCCAAAATCGTAAACCAGACAGACGCAATTGAGAGAGGTATCACCGAGCTAAAGAGAGAGACAGTAATTTCATCCTCAGCTGGTCCGGTCTACTCACATCGCCTGCGAAGCGCGTCTTCGGGCCAGCTGTAGAACTCGGGCAGAGCGTTGTCGTAACTCGGCACGTACATTTGGTTTTGGATGTAGGAGACGAGATTGTTCGGTTTGGGGATGAGGTGAGCGATATCCGCCTCGTAGGCGTACTCAGCGACACGATGCGCAATCGCCAGGGAGACGGGTCTAATTTGGCTGAGCGGCGGGAACACCCGACCCAATGCCAGATCTTCATCTTTCACTTGATCTGCCAGACACTAGAACAAGGGCATTAGTGCAGTAACGTCGACACGGCAGCCCCCCGCCCACCCAATCGGCAAGGAACTTACTTCGGCGGCGATGGCGAAGCACTCGTCGGGAATCGGACGCAGCTTGCAGGCCGTGATGGCCAAGCCGACACCAGGGAAGATGTAGGAGTTGTTGCACTGGCCGGGCTTGAAGGTTTTCTGTTGCCCTGCCACATCAACTGTCACCTCGCCGAACGGAGAACCACTCGCGAACACACAGGCGCCCTGTAAAAAGATACAAACACGGTGAGTGCAGTCCGATTGACCGAAGTCTGCGTTCACACCTACGAGGCTCGGGTGTGAATCAAAAAACGCGAGGCTTGCGGATTAGTGACATCCGTTGTGCCCCCACGGTGACGGTTTAAAATAATGACAGCAAACCACGAAAAACGTCAGAAGTATATCGCAAAAAAAATACCTGTGTGATTTTGTAGGCGGCCTCGGCTGTGCACTCAGCCTTGTCGGTGGGGTTGCTGAGGGCGAAAATAATGGGCCTGTCGACATTCTTTTTCATTTGTTGAAGAATGCGGTGAGTAAAAAGGCCTCCAACTCCTGACGCGCCTATTAAAAACAAACAAGACCAAGTGGTTAGGCACATGCGTGAGGACACGGCTGAGCTACCATCCAATCGATAAACGCACCAATGAGAGCGGTTGGTTTGAATTTTTTCACAATTTCCTCAAGGTTCCTCATTGGTTCGACGTCAGTGCGGGCGAAGGTACCGTTGTGATCGTCGATGTTGCCTTCTGGGCGACCCTGTTAGGGGAAAAAACTTGTCAGCGTAGAAGAATCCAGACCAATTTAAGAATCGCATAAGCTGGGTTTCAGCGTGTCTCTGGAAGACCTTAGTCCCACATTTGGCTGTGCTAAGCCCAATTTGCGTCAAGGTTGCAAATCATTCGAAGCGCGACATCAGCAGACGTGTACGCGTTGCAGTACAGGCCAGGGATTAAAAAAGAAACCCACCTGAACAAGGAGACCGTCCTTGTCGTACATGTAGATCCGGTTGATGGCCTCGTCCTCAGACACGCCGTGCATCATCATGGCAGTCTTCAGTAGATGGGCTATTCCACTGGCAGCCTAAAAAAAGACGCTTGACAGGCTGGAGTCTGATGTTGGTACCGTAACTTGAGCACCGTTTTTAAAAAAAAAACAAGATAGTGTGAGGGCGATGATGATGATGATTTAGCGAGTAAACCACAGATGCGTCTGGATGAGTGGAACAGAGAAAATGGGTGGTTGGGACATCGGCATACCTCACCAGCACCGACGAAAAGATAAGTGTCATCAGAGATACTGCGTCCAGTCAGGCGTCCGGCAGCAATCAGACCAGCAACGGTCACCGACGCGGTCCCTGTAATAAGAGAAATACGCCAAAGCGTTAGGAAACCGCCAATGAGAGAGGGAGAGAGTGGACACAAGGTCTGGTTAGAGTCTAAATGACCCACAAAAAACCTTTGTTTTAGCACAAAATTTAAACAGATTGAGTTAAAAAGGTTATCTCACTTACCTTGTATGTCGTCGTTGAATGTACAATAATCGTTGCGATAACGCTCCAAAATGCGGAAGGCATTACGGTTGCCAAAATCTTCAAACTGAATCAAACAATTGTTCCCGTAGCTGCAAGGATAGAAAAAAAAGTAGATCCAACAGCGGTTTCTTGGCAAATTCAAACAAAGGTAATTGGTCGCTATGACAACAACCAATGAGAGCCTTGCTGAAATGGAATTCGGGTGGCACATCGCTTACAGCGGCGTGCAAAGCTTGCGGTTGCTTGAAAACACGAGGTCGAAGCAAACCGATTGACCAATCGTGACACTTGGAGAATACGAATCTCCATCGTGGGCGGAGACCATATCCATTTATGGGGAGAGGGGGTGGGTGAGAGAGCAAGGCGCCAGGGAGACAAAAAAGCGAGAAGAAAGCTCACCGTCTGACAACTGCGCGCATGAAGTTGTCCAGTAGTTCATCGTAACGAGAATCACGAATGCGCTTGTGAGCGACACCCATGTAGAAAGGATCCTGAGGAAGTAGCAAAATAAGCGAGTCATTTGAAGGCACACAAGAGGTGACTTGAACCCCCAAGTGTCAATAGCCAGTTTCCCCTGAATTCGCATGTGCCTTTTCATCCAACAATAAGGATGTTAGACAGTAGAGATCCCCTGAATGCGATTTTTTAAATAGCTGTGAAAAGGCAACTAGAATTGACTCATTCGATAGCAATTGCCTCATTCCGGTGTGTGCCAAAGGCGCAGATAGCACACACGCGACTAGCTGTTGCTAATTTCATGGTACCACAAACAGAGAACGAAATCAAAAGACGAACTGTGAGCGAGTGCAGTGGCGGCTTAGCTAATGTGTGGCGAGCGCAAGTGAGCAGTGCTTCGTATTTTGGCATCAAAGAGAACCTCCAAGTCTAGAATTAAGGGGCTAAATATGAGTTTGCTTTGGGTCTAATGCAAGCAGACGCCGGCTTGGCAAATCGCTCAAGAGAGCAAGGCACCCAGTTACACGACCACTTCCATGGTGGAATAACATCGAGGAGGAAATGCAAGCACAACGCGACAATGTCGCGTGACGATGCTCCATGTCGAATACGTGTATGCGCACACACACACACACACACGACCTCAACCTGTGATGCGTGGTTGCATTTACGCCACCACCACCACCATCACCACCATCACCACCAGCAGCAGCATCATAAATATAAGCGAATCCGGGTCGACCGAACACAATGCCGGAATCGAATAAGCACGTAGTGCCGCGACCGTGTGCGCAAGCACGCAAACAAGGCGTGCGACCATCACACACACACACCCGCAGCGGACGAGTTCGTGCACCAGTTGTGGACGCTAATATGGCGCACTTCGCGTGAAATTTCGAGCGATTTTGAGGTCTTGGGTAAAACAGGCGAAAAGCGGACCGCCCCCAAGCAGCAGCAACAACGACAACAACAAAGTCACGTGACTTGCGCCAGGGCAGAAAGTGGGTGCGTGGGCCCGGCAGTGCCTAATTCGCAACCTAGCAACCAAACATGCACTACGTGACTTCCATGAAGGCACGGATTGTACTTTACAAGAATCGATTTACGAAAAAAAAAATACCAGGACAAAGGCCGTTGAAACATTGTCGCGCTGCCGTGGCTCTGGTTTGTGATGAGCTGAAGTTGGATACCAGATACCAGAAAAAAAGCAACTCCCATCGCACCCAACAATTGTTTGAACTTTGTCTTGGGGCATCATGATGCCCCAATTACCTTGCAAACGTTAACGTAACAAATAACTTGTGGTTTAAACAGAATCCGATTGCTGCTCGAAAGAGGGCACCACGCGATAGAAAGCTTATCGCGTGATTTGTCTTGGATCAGGCGAAAAGCATCACCCGAATTCGGTTAATCCAACAAAGACAACGTTGACCCGGGGTCAGATGATCGACAGAGTAAAAGTACACGTTTTGTGATTTGTAATCATCGGTTGTACAATCGTGCGAACAGTCTCGGAGTAGGCGGTGTGTAAATTAGTGCGGTTTTTGTTCAACGCGGCGCGATTTTAGCGCAAAGGCGTTCAGAAAAAAGTGGCAATTTTTGCCGATGGCAGAGCTTACTACCGTCAACCGAAACAGAGCTAGCTACGCAGAGAATCATGCTTACATTGAGGAGGTCCTTGTTGTCCGAGCCGACGTCCAGAACGACAGGGAGGCAGTGGCGTGGGTTGACACCCGCCAGAGCCGAGTAGAGCGAGAGTTTTCCAACCGGGATGCCCATTCCGTAGGCGCCCAAGTCACCCAAACCGAGAATACGCTCACCGTCTGTCACCACAATTGCCTGGAAGCAAAAAAAAACAAAGACGATGTTCAAACAGTGGAGACTTCGTTTATTGAGGCGTTAAGGGGGGGGGGGGGAATCGATGAACACATTCCACGAGCGGCTAAGCCCTCAAAAATACCCCACAGCAGCCTCCTTCGAGCGCCGGGCACTAGCCGCCTTCCCAGACAGGTGCACTGATTGATGGGGCTTTGTCCGTGGTAAGTGGACCAAATTTAATGCAAGGTCACCTTGGATGTTGGCATCAGGCCACGACATTTGGAACATTGGACTGCCGAAAATGGGGGAGCGTGTCCAAAGAAAGCCCATAGCATGGGCGTGGTCACACCGGCGCTGCGTTACACCCAAACAGGACAACGTTGGACAATAAGAACAGCAGCTTGTTCAGTAAAAAGTATCCCAAACTTCTGCAACGACAGCATCGCATGCAAATACATCGACTCAGAAATCTAGTTCAGAGTGTCAATGGCGGGGTCATGGGTAGTGAGTATAAAAGGCGTGACAAAAAACCATGGCCGAAAAGATAGCATAAACGCACACGCATCGTTGAGTGTCTAGTGTAATCACACCGGAATCGCGTAGTGACTAAGATTTTGGCACAGATTGTTAGTCTAAGGTGATAGGCCACAGACAGGCATACACACTACGTGGCTTTTTTTACTTCGGACACACACACACACACACAGTTTGTGGTTACGACGGCACACCTTGGACGGATTAATCGCATCATGCTGTGATTGTTCATGCATTACAGATCAATTCGATCTCCGATCAGTTGTTAACACAATTGCCCAATTCAAAGACCTGCGATTTAATAAGTTCCACTTTACCTACTATCACCAGTAGACGTTAAAAGATTATGAATAAAAAAAATGCAGAGTAGACATTGTCTACCGATGTTTTTGCAGACATTTGTATGAGTGCACGCACACCCACGTCGTGTGACTCCGGTGTTGCCCATCCCAGACGCCGCGAACGTTATATTCGCTATCACCGTGTACGTGTGTGCCGATGCGACTCGACTACCAGACATCTGGTCTCCGCTTAATTATGGAACTCAGCCAAAAAAACAAAAAGGCGCGAAAAAGTCCAATTCCACAGGGATTGAGCAAATTGGCACAAGCGTAACATTCCATAAAGACGATGAGGACAAGAGCATTAGTGAATAAACTGATTACCAGAGTTTGTACATATAAAAAACTAAGCCAAACCTCTGGAGAAGATAAGGTGCCTGCACTAAAACAACTGCCGACAAACCATAAAACATTATCGGCAGGACAAATCAAGAACTCACACGAACAATGGGCTCAGGCCAGTTTTTCAAGATATCATCAATGTTGTAACGGTCGTGCACGGTGATGTAGAGACCACTGAAATGGAAATGGGAAGTCGACATGACGTATTCTTGTGTACTTGAGTGCAAACGATTTCGGGCTTGTTGATAACGTGCAAATGAAATCCCGGAGCCACACGATTAAGTCCGCAAATGAAGATTCGTATACTACGTAAATAGTAGGTTACGCACAAGCTTTAGGAAACACGTACAAGCTAGACAATTACGAAACACGTAGGGCTTGGTTCAAACTTTTACAACAGCAAACCAAGATTACAATAATTTTTTTTAGACAAGACAAGACGCCTTAGAGAAAGGCGAGTTCAACTTACCGAGGTCTACGGAAGACTAAGCCATAACGCTGACAAGCCAAACCCACGGTAGGTGTATAAATAAGCGGCAGACAGTATTCAGTGTGTTCAGTTACTACCTACGCAAAAAAAAGAAAATTATGTTATCATCCAGTCATGAGCTGACGCAAAAAACAACGAACGAAGCTCTGTTCTTTGCCGACCCACTACATGAGAAGCTTTGAAGACGCTTATCATGTATCAAATGTATGGGATTCGCACATATCACAGACAAAATCAAGTAACAGTGGTATATGACATTTAAGGTATTACGTTAAGCTAAATGAATAGTGTACACTCAAAATTTTAAGAGGAAAGAAAATGAAGCATGCGAGAAAATCACAAATTCGAATTATCACCACAAGAAAGTAATTACTTTATAGAACAGGGTTTCGTTGCGATCTTGCAAACCAATTAAAAAGATATAGCGCTGGAGGTTATCCTCGAGTCTCTTTAAGTTGCTAATCATCTTCTTTGACTGAGCCTCCAGATCAGAAACGGCCGGAGGAAGGAGGCCATGGATCCCAAGCAATTGACGCTCTCGAATAGTAAAGGCAGTTCCCTAACATAATAGGAGTCAAAATTAGATGAGCATATAAAAATTCAGTAAGAAATCTGATTAATTTTTCATTTTCCTTACAAGATTAATCGATACAGTAGTATACTACTGTCGAGATAGAGAAAGTTAAAAATGGGGTTTGCGAAGCATTGACGAGAACCCAACAGAACCCTGATGTAAGTAAAAATACTCATATTTTGTAGTAATCAAGTATTGTAGCAACAAAACCATTAGCAACATTGGTATAATGATGAATATTAATCAGACGAAAAAGTTCAGCCGTGTTAAAACATGAATCAGTGAGTAAATAGCAATAACCACACCTTATTTGTGCTAGGGTTTCTGATGACACCAATCCCATAAGAATGGATCTCAGATGCAAAAAAACGCTTTGAAAAGAACTGGACTAGAGACCGTTTCATCATCGGACCGAAAAAGTAGAACTGAACGCGAAAGCTCGTCAACGACTTATGTAGTTCACACCTCAAAATGCATACCAGTTTAGTCAGCAAAACAAAAGGTTCAATTAATGAAATGTTTAAGTCGTGCACTTCAAAAGCTGTATCCTTGTTACATGAAGCCAACAGACTTTGGTAAAATTGTAATTTTTTATATGCATTTAGTTTTGGTTCTTCATTTGGGCTGTGGTGTCGCGCATCATCAATTGACAGTTTGACGAAAACTCATAATTCAAGTATCTCGTCATGTCATCAAAAAAGTGAAATTTAAAAAGGAAGACCTATAAATCAGAAATGGGGCTGCCTATGCTCGAAAGGGCTATGTTTGCATACATCTACCAGGTTGGTTAGCTCGAGTTTTGCTACTACGTTTTTCGGATCACTTTACAATTGAGTCCTTCTTTTGCAACGAAAATCTATCTTCTAACAACTCAACTGTCTTCCCTAAAGCTCTCATAGAAGATTTTTAAAAAAGTTTGCAGCAAAATTTTCTCAGCCCATTAAACCAGTTGATTCCACAATAAGTATTCATTCTACTTAACTCTGTTTTTGTAATAATGCCCTCTAATTTATGCACATTACTGTCATAAAAACTTGCAAATTATATGCATTATAACAGAAAATAAAATTAGTCGTAATACAACTAATTAATTTCATTTGCTTGGAATTTATTTAATGACCACACTTTCTGTGATCAATTCAAGACCTTTTCTTTCACTTGAATGCCTCGAATTAGGTTTGCAACGTGTTCCTAATGTAGAATGAAAACCTAGCGTTTTCCGCATAGTTTTACAGTAGCTTATATTTTGTTGCTGCATCCAAACGTCAATTCACCACAAAATACAATACTCCCGATGGAACAGACAATTTTATTTGACAGACTTAAAGCCTGGTTTTTGATCAACTTTAAGCAATCTAACCACTAAATAAGGCCTGCAATAATTATTGGCCATTGTTTGATAGCCCACTTTATCTCATCGTTGTTTTTTTATTTATCCAACTGAAGTGTTTGAGTACAAAAAGCAATCACTGATAGTGGTAAACCAATTTTGAGTAATATGGGGAATAATGAAATTGACGAATTTGCAAGTTACCGAATTGGTGCATGCTTTGGGTTATAATTTTCGCCTCGTGAATATTTTAAACGTGGCTTTGACCTCAAAGAGAACGCAGATGATCTATCAAAAGACATGCCAAATCTCTGTTTCGGAACAATTCCATGGCAACGCAATCAGAAATCAAATAGTGATTAAGTTAATTGCTTATGATACACTTATAATGTTACTCGTTTAAATCAAGATAATTATTGTGATGCTGGATCCACTTGAATTAGACGTTAATACGTTCGGAAGAACGACTTCTTGGAATACAGAACGCGGTGAACAATTTCGATGAAGTTCGGAGATTTGAACAAACACCTTCCGGTATCGTTGGTAACAGTCAGTTTGTGTCAGCAGGTGCAATGTGAATTTTTTCGGCTGTTTACACTTTATTTTCTTTAATTTGCTAGATGCAGGTTGAAAAATATTTTTTTAACCCAATATAATATTTTTTTATAGAAGCTGATTATAAGGACATGTGGAAGATCAACCTAAGCATTTGTTTAGAACGGAATAGTATATTTGGGTTAAGTCAAAAGTCAAAATTTACAAATACTTTATTATTTTGCTGTAGTGGAGAAACAGGTACTCGTTTAGTTGAAATTATCGATTTATCGAACCAGATTCCAAAAGTGCCACGCACACAATTTCATTTTGATGACGCTTTCATTTTATTGGCTTAGCCCAACTTTGGGAGTTATCCCTATTTTATCGATTTCTTAGGCTACTCAGATTCCTGGTTTAACCTCTTCTCAAAAAGTGACTAGATTAATTGCAAAAATATCTACCTTTTACGTCTATCCGATTCCTATTAGTCCCAAAATTTTGCTTGGTAGGAAATTATGAAATTTTTCCAACCGAATTTATCTTGCCTGAAAAGAAAACTTTAGTGCGTCACTAATGGTAGCCTGAATGAACAAATTCTTCCAATTTACCCAAAATATGACATTAGTGTTTATATAAATTGATTAATTTAGATTGTGTGAAGTGCTGGTGCAGTAGTGACAACAGGTGACAATCACAACACCGAAATGGGCCCAGAATGTAGTCCCCTCAGACATGAAGGGTTTGCACTGATCTCGACGGTGGTGATGATGTCTCGCTAGACGCCATCACTTTGGGTCTATGCGGTTTCGTGTGGGGTGCCACACGGTTGCCGCAGCGCCCTGGCTGTTGATTGGCGGAAGTCGTGGCGGCCGCTGATCTGATTGGTGACCGAAGAACCGCCTGCGGCAGGTAGTACTCGACGCCAGGCGTGGAGGCTTTCTCGGAAGACGTGGAGGCCGCCGTCTGTTGCCTGGCTGTGCACTCGTCCATGAAGATGAAGGGATTTGTCACTTCGTCGTGGCCTGACGCCTCAAGCCATCGATTTTTCTAGCGCACAAAACACGTGAGTACAACGCACTCTAATCTATCGATTTTCCCTACTGCTGTTCATCGATCGATAATCTCGCATCTTCTTAGATTGCATAATTAAGCAGCTAGTTGATGTGGGTGCGTTGTTGTAGTAACTATTTAATGACTTTTAAGATAAAATTGAGGGGATTTCCGCGCACACACGTGCGCACCTTGCACCTTCACGCGAGACTGACCTTGGTCGAGGAGACCGTCTGCTTGGCCTGAGCCGACTTGCTACGATTGCAGACGAGTTCTATGAGCAGGAGAAAGAGACCAGCAAGTATTCCAACTGCAACCATGATGAAGACACCCGCCATATTGGTTAACTCAAGCGTTGCTGGACTCGACTCCATCTTTGCGCATTCCTCGCTTTCTGCCGAGTCGAAGATCCACTGGGTATCTAGTTGTTCCATAAACCCACCTTAAAAAGGAAGAGTGTTGAAAATGCTACTTGAATCTGTTAAGTAAAATTGTGTATTTCATATTATTGCGTCAAATTATGAAATTAATTGTGAGTTAGCTCTAATGCATACTTAATTGAAAATTTAGCCTGAAATCTAGTGTCTGATTTCCTTCACGCAATATAGCGCAACAAAGTTCATCTTCCAAAGTCAGTTGGTGGTGGATAATCTGCCTTGGAGTTTGAAGAGACAGAGCACTCTATCGCATAAAAAATCATCTACTTTTTGCATTATAGTAGAAAGGTTTGTCTGCTGAGAGTAGGCGGCCTTTTTCTAAGCAACTTTCTCAGTTTTATGAGGTCCCTTTTTTTAACTCAAGGTCTACAGAGGCGCATTTTTGTGCTTACGTTCATGGAAGTTTAGCACAGCTTGTGATAGTTCGTAGATCCATGGGTTGCCCTTTTTCATCGCGAGACCATAGCCGGTCCTACCAAAGACGTCTCCCGTAGTAACGAGATCACAGTCTCGGGAAGCTTCGTAGTTAAGACGTGCTGAATCCCAGATGAATGCCTTCAAAGCACCCGACTTCACAGCCTAAAAATTAAAAAAAATAAAGGCTAAATTAAGCCGAGTTATGCTTGCAATGACAGTTCAACCAATCAGTGCACAGTATGTACGTGAGCCACCAGTGGTTGGATCAAAATGATAGCCAATCACAATGTTAAAATGACTTCAAATCAATAATCAGGTACATTTTCATGAGTGGAGATGGGTCTCAGGCGGTAACCTCAAATTAACTAATGAGACTGCGTCACTCTTCTCTTTTCTCATTGCTAATGTGCTCTTCGATGCTTTGACGTTGTGTGTTAGCTGAATTTGACAACTTGGGACACTCAATACGGTAATCGGCTCAGCCAATCGGAGTCGGGTCACAATTTGATTGGGTAAACAAAGGTAGGAAAAATTCACGTGCTTACTTGAATGCCTTCCTCTACTGTGTCGACGTTACGGCCTTCCATTGTGCGATAGATTGTGTCAAGTTCAACCTGGCTTTTAAAGTACATCTCTACGGAACTCCCACGAACAGTTGCAAAGGTGAAGTCTTTTTGTGGATTTCGAAGCTAAAATGAGGTATAAATAATCGATACTAGTAGATGCTATCCTCCGAAATCTGTTATCTACTTGTGGAATGGGATTGAGGACCTCTAAGTCACCTTGATGTACTCTTAAGTGGTGCTACGATCGATTTTGCCCAATGGGAAGTGAGTCTGGCTGACCAATCACTTCACAGCTCACCACGGCAGCTAAAATTGAAGGTTTTCGCATATATTTCACGCGGTCTAGACCCAACGATGTCTTTGCTCCTCATGTCCCAGTTTAGATAGCATTCAATAGCAATAGCGATTAACGCAACAGGATCAAAAATTTGGGTGGAAGGTGAACGAATTGCAGACGAACGTCATTCATTGGCTGTAATTTGAAGGCTCTCGATTGGCTGACTTCGTTTCTGCTATCGATTATCGGTTTTGGACGTTGATAGGCTTTCATGCAGAGCGAGTGAAAATGTACTTTACGGAAGGTGTGTTTTACTAAACTGGTGACTCCAGTAGGCAATTTATATCCATCTGACTTGTTGACTTGATGCGATACTCGTTCACTTGTTCGTCTGGCAAATTCCTCTCACTCGAAATTCATTGACTGTCCGCTGAACCTTCTGCCAGTTTGAACTTACAATCGTAGTGAATCAGCAGAGTAATTGCCAGTCAAGTTTGCTAAACATGTAAAGTGACCCAAATAAGGTCAAAATCTTCGACTGACACCCCCAGTGGGCTACATCGAGGACACTTGTCGAACTGACCTCAAACCTTATTTAATGCAACAGTCTTTTTTAAGGTGTGGATGTCACTAACGGGTTTACGATCCCCAGCAAATTTTGACTGGCACTGTTTAATAATGCAAAATGTCTGACCGTTTTCCATTCAACCAACAATAAACCACAATTAATCACAAGTGTCCAGTCTGAGTCACGCGTCAGGTCTCTCTCTCTCTGTCCGTCCGACCCTATTCCGGACACGTCGTCGTCGTCGTTCCAGATTCTTCCATCTTCCCAGCCTCGAAATCGGCGCTGGAAGGTGGGA